TATAAGTCCCCTAAGTGGGGTTATCCTAATTATAACCTACTTATAACCTTACTTACTAAGTCCCATGAGCCTCTAAGTAAGCACGCCATATGTGGACATTGCAAGAGGTCTGTAAGCTTTGATCCAAGGGCCCTAGAGCTTGAATAGTTCTCCGCATTGGGGTCGCGTTTTACCGTGCGGCCCTCTTACGATAAAGCATCACCAAATAAATCTTACTTTAAAGAATTAGTTGCACCTATGTGTTTTTCAGGGAGAAGCTTGCGGCAATTCGCCGGGCTATGGCCGGGGCCACAGAGCTGAGAACGAGACTCCAGACTATGCCAAACCCCAAACCCCATACCCCCCAACCCTAAACTCCAATCCCTAACCCCGAAAACCTAAATAAAGCTGGGAGTTTCCGCGCGGTATCTGCAACCCTCGACCTTTTTGGCCCGGTGCTTGACTGCTCCAGCACGTGTTGGCAGCGCAGTTTATGCTCCCTCCTAGAGTTCAGGCGGTGAGGGTTTAGGGTTGTAAAGGGTTCTTCAGGGGTTTGGGGTTCATTCCTAAGGGTTCTTAAGGGTTTTGGGTAGGGTTCCTTTACGGTTTAGAGCCGTGCAGTGCAGGGTTGAACGTTTCGGGTACAATGCCGGTTTTGGGAATCGGGATCGGAGTTTCGACGTACCCAGAGAGCCCAATACCGCTTAATTAAGGAATGTACCTTAAAGTATGGGGCCTTAATGTTATGATTGAAGGTATATTCCTCAATTACCGGGTATTGGGATCTCTGGGTAAGGGTCAGGGTTTAGGTACAGATGAGAGCCCGCGCTACTTGCAGGATGGAGGGATGCGGTAAGTGGGTCTGTACCTAGACCCCCAAAAGTATGTAAGATGATGGCCCCAAACCTATAAAAGGCTATTATTCTTACATACTTTTGGGGTCCAGGTAGCAACATTCTGAGTCCTTTGAGTACCCTGAATGGAGTTATCCAGCACATTAACACTGATCCTCTACTTGGAGGATCATGGGAACTAGTAAGTAAGGTTATATGTACTTAATTGGGGTAATAAGTACATATAAGTATAGTTACCCTAATTATAACCCTAGGTACTTAGTCCCATGACCCTTTAAGTAAGTGTGGGTGGCTGAGGCATTTCCCTGGTTGCTGAGACCATTGCTCGAAACCTGAAGCGGCACTCTCAGCTCCTCTTGCGAGGGTTGCTAGGCGGCTAGAGAGTGCCCTAGACCTAAAATCCTCAACCCAACTCGAGACCTGGTTCTTCTTTGTCAACGTCTTCTTTTAGGGTGAGCTTTTTGCAGAAGTGAAGTTTGTGGTTCGGGGCGAGTCCAACATCGAGCGGAGGAGATCTCGAACGTGTGTCTGTTTGACAGGTTTGGTAGAAGTTGAGGGCGAATACTGCAGACATCCAGAACACGGGGGCAACTCCATTGTATCCTGCAACCTGATGGGACATCCTAAGCCCTAAACCCGCGAGTGCATTAGAATGATTGCCAGGATGAACCCTAAGAACCGCCAGTACTCGAGGATTATGTACGTGGAGGGTAGGCCATGGTGTAGTCGAAAGTGTGTGCTCAATAATGTCAACCGCCATTCCGCCATTCTACGACTTGCAGAAATAGTCGTATCAGGGCGTCGTCATAGAAGTAGCAGTAGCAGTATCAGCAGCAGTTGCAGCAGCAGTAGCTGCAGCAATAGCAGTAGCCGTAGCAGTAGCAGTAGCAGCACGAGCAGCAGCAGCAGTAGCAGTGCCGGAGATAAGTAAGGTCTGATGATTCTCGGCCACAGTTGCTTGAGGCTTGGGTGGACCCGAACCTTACATCCTACGGCTCAAGCCCTTACGTGAGTGGAGAGCCGATATGAGATGAAGTCACTACAAGCGAGAATCCCTACATCTGAAGACCTGGTTGGAGGATCATGGGACTTAGTAAGTATGGTTATAAGTACCTTAATTGGGGCTATAAGTAATTATAAGCATTCAAAAGAGACGAAGAATCCCCTAAACCCTAAACCCTAAAAGAGACGAAGAATTCATTAGGGGCCCCGGAGTCACGAGGGTGGTTGTCAAAATTAGGGTTCCCTTTTGGGGTCCTTATTATAGTACGGCACCTATTATGTAGGGTACCCAAAAAGGGACCCTAATTTTGACAACTACCCAAATGAGCATCTCGAAGTCAGAGAACAGCAGCTGCAGGTCTTCAGATGCTTGCGCCGACATGGATGCCGCGCAATCCGCCAAGGCTACGGACGTCGACGAGGAAACCCTTAGGGTTTAGGGTTTAGGGTTCAGGGTTCAGGGTTTAGGGTTCAGGGTTTAGGGTTCAGGGTTTCGGGTTCAGGGTTTAGGGTTTAGGGGTTGGATGGGTTTATTTGACATTCAGGACTGGGTGTTACATTGTGAACGGCATGTGGTCCGAATGCCCTTGAGCCATAACCTTCTTTGTCCAACAAGGGGCGAATGAACCTGGAATCGCAGAAGCAGCAGCAGCAGCAGAAGCAGCAGCAGCAGCAGCAGCAGCTGTGCCAACAGCAAATAGCTCGCCCTACCACTACCACTCCCACCGCCGCTGCCACTGCCACTGCCACTGCTACCAATACTACCTGCACAAGTCATACTACTGGTACTACTGCTACTACTGCGACTGCGATGACAACATCTGCTGGTACTCGCATGATTATCGTTGTCATGATTCATCACTGACTTGGGAACCTTATGGATGCTTTAAGCCACAATACCAATGCTGCACAGCTTGTTTGACTTGTAATTCGTCCTGAACCTCAAACCCTGAAAGCCCGAAGCTACCAGCCTTCAGACACCAAAACGCGATGTCAATGTTTTGTATAAATCCATATACATGTTCATAGAGCCCCACGAACCCTGCAACAGCCGTTTAGGCCGTAGCTTTCTGCGATCTATCGGCAACCCTAGACCCTAAAGCTCGCCGGAACCCTAAACCCTAAACGCCAAACCCCCAAACCCCTAAACCCCTACATAAATCCTAAACCCCGAAACCCTAAACCCCGAAACCCTAAACCCTAAACCCCGAAACCCTAAACCCCTAAACCCCGAAACCCTAAACCCAGAAGTCTCGCAGGACCTGACCACCCCCGAAGGGGTGGGCCAGTCAGCCGCTCGCCGGCTTCTAGCAGAGGCCGGCACGGATGTTGAGGGCAGTCTCTCTCTCTCTCTCTCTCTCTCTCTCTTTCTCTCTTCTCTTCTCTTCTCTTCTGTATCTTTTCTCTTTCTGTCTTTGTCTCTCTCTCTCCCTCTTCTCTTCTCTTCTCTTCTGTATCTTTTCTCTCTCTCTCTCTCTCTCTCTCTCTCTTTCTCTCTCGCTCTCTCTCTCCCTCGCTCTCTCTCTGTCGCTCTCTCTCTCTCTCTCTCTCTCTCGCTCTCTCTTTGTCTCTTTTGTCTTCTCTCTGTCGCCTTCTGTACCCTAAATACCAAAAGTTTTGTTTTTGTTTTGCATTATTTCTCTATGCGTTCGGCATTAATTTTGGGTTTAGGCCGTGCGGGGCATTTCGGCTACCTGGGGCTAACACAGGGAGTTCTTATGGCTAGTTTGTTTTTTTGTTGCTGCTTGTTCCTTGAAGACGGGCAGGTTGCTTGCCGTCGTTTTGGGTCTCTGAGGCTGTGTAGAATTTGGAGCACCCCGATCCGAGTCTTCTTGCCTAGGTGGCACTTTGAGAAACTTAAAAATCCCCCTTATGGCTCCTATAGAGGACGGCCCCAAATCCAAAACTACAACCCAGTTGATAATGTATCGGCAGCTTTTCTGTGCAGAGCTTGCAGGATTCAGGATGTTGACATTTCAGGCTTAGGGCATAGGGGTTGAGGTTCAGAGTTGTCGGTTTCAAGCTTTGGAGGAATTCCAGTGGGAGGTGCCGCGGTTTCAGATGGTTTTGCCTGAGTGCATGAGCAAGCGCTGAACCGCACAATTCTGTAATCCCTAAACTCCTATACCCTAAAGCCCTAAAGCCTAAACCATAAACCCCAAAACTCAGAAAGCCCTGAACCCTGAATCACGAAGCTGAATTTGGGAAGTTGTATCCAACCCACCGAAAAGCCGAGATTCCGTTTCTCCCATGAAAAAGCCTTAAACCCTGGACCCGGAGCTGTAAATCCAAAGCACTTGCACCTAAACCCCGCTGGTATACAGTAGAAACCTAAAAATTGGAAACCCAATAGCCTCAATCCTTAAGAGCAATGTATGGGGAATTCCAGCACTATTTGGCCTTAATCCGGTTTCCAACTTTATGGGGCTTACTGTACAGGAGAAGCCTAAAGTGCCGCACCTGCAAGCAAGCCTATTCGAGCTATGTAGGCCCTTAAAACGGGTTTGAAAACGACCTTCCGCGACCTTCCTCATTGCAGGCTGTGCATGTCAGCCACAGTACAGTAGTTTCGTGGTTTGAGGTATGCCCGGCGCGGTAGAAGCCCAAAACGCCGAATTTTCCCTGTCCCTGCAGATTGATCTCGATGGCGTGGTGTCGCGCTTGGCGATGTCCGTTGCAGTCCAAACCCCCGCCTTCCACTTACAAACCCCCATGTCTTGAATCCGAAACCCTCCTTTCGAAACACAACCAACAGAATAGATCCCAAACCCTAAACCGTGAGTCCAGGTAACATCAGATGTAAAGGTTCAGCGTTAGTAGTGGTGATGGCAGTAGCACATAGTGTTACTCGTGGTGGTGGTAGTGGTAGTCGTAGTAGAAGGAGGAGCAGCAGGAGGAACTGTCTGGGGCTTTGGAGCTTGGGATCACGGCTTTGAGGGAAAGTTGCCCATTGTGAGTATGGGTGTAAGCGCTTGACTTGAGTTTAGGGTTTAGGGTTTAGTGTCTAGGGTTTAGAGTCATGAGTAGTTACAACTGCGATCTGCTGATCCTTCAAGCATGAACCCTAACCCCTACCCTAAAGCGTTCCATCCTCTGCTGCCGCTGCCCCTCTGCGGCTCGAGATGATGGATCCATGCCATGGGGCAGCAGTGACCGTGGAGGAGGATGCCAGTCGGGAACCCAGCTGTGCAAAGGTTTAGGGTTTAAGGATTCAGCTGCGACATGGGATGCATGTACCCGGCTGGCGCCCAGAGCCCAAGCTTAGCCATATACACCTCACCCGAAGCCTAAACCTCAAAGCCTTTCAAGGATACGGCGGAGGATGCTTTGCCAGCTTTACGAAGCTTTCTAATTGAAGCCACAGAGGACTCGCTGCGTGCAGACCCGAAGCACCCTCAACCCCAAAGCACAACGGTAGAGTAAGCGCAGCAGCTCAGGAGAATTGCAGAATAGCATCACAAGGGCACCCAAGCTGAACCCCAAGCTCCGCAGCCAAGAACCCTAAACTTTCTCAACTCGGACTTGCAAACCCTAAGCCTAACTGCCTAACCCTGTATTGGGATTTGGGGCTCTAGGTTTGGGCCTCTTTGAGCCTCAAGCCCAAAACCCGAAACCGCCTGGCAACGCAGGCAAGCTTCGAGCCGTCAATGGTGGTGCCAGGCCAGTCGGAAAGCTTTCCTCTAGGACTATAGGGTTCGGTGCGTTGAGTACGTGCGGGTGTAGGGTATAGAGCTCAGCGGTGTTTTAAGTGCATGTACCAGTATATCTCTGCATCTGCCCATTCATGTGTCTACATACCCGAAACCTGATAGCTTGAAGACCAAAACCTACTGTCTAGCATTCGGGGCCTACGTGCAGTGTAGGCTTTAGCTTTAGCAGAGATGAGGGCTCAACTTGTGCACAGGACTTCCGGCCGGTGGTCCTTTAAACCCAGATTGCGACGAGCTCCGTAAACCCTACCATAAGCCCTACAAAACCCTACAAATCCTCTCAGCCCTCGGAACGCTGCACAAAACACCATCGAAACCTCGTAAGCCCTGAACCTCGTGAGAAACCCTAGACCCGTATCCGAATCGAGAGTCGGCTCGTTTCAGTTCGCTTTCGTGAGCCGCAAGGCCTAGTGCTATGGAGGTGTAGGGGTTAGCGCTGGGGTTTGGGGTTTAGGGTTGGGATTAGTTCCTTTTTAGGGGTTCGCGGGGACCTACGCGGTTTGGGAAAAGTAGGAATTTCATTCCCATAGATCCAAAATAATCATAGAATGCCAAAACCAAACTTGTCTTCCAGTTGTTAAGGGCCTGTTTTGTCAGTTTGTCTGAGGATTCTGCAGTGGCTTATATGAGTATAAGGATTCGGAGCCCCAACCAAGTCCAAAACCCAAAATGCCAAGACCCTGACCCCCCGAATATCGGAGCCGCCTACCGTGAGCCCTAAGTCCTAAACTCCAAACCCGAAGCCCTAAGCCCTACCTTAAACTACCAAACCCTACTTTTTTGTAGGTTCTTATTAGAAACCCTAATATGGAATTTATAGGGGCCCTACAAAAAAGTAGGTTTTGGTAGGTTTTGGTACGCCCTAAACCCCAAGACACGCTTCCCGTTCGGTTTTTCGGATTTCAGTGCTCCGGCAGAGGTCGAGCAGCACTGATACTTAGAGGCTCATGGGACTTAGTAAGTAAGGTTATAAGTAGGTTATAATTAGGATAACCCCACTTAGGGGACTTATAACCCCAATTATAACCTACTAAGTCCCATGATCCTTCAAGTAGACCCTAAACCCTAAACCCCGTAGATCCCTTTAAGGAACCCTATAGATCCCTTTAAGGAGCCCTTTAAGGAGCCCTTACTAAGTCCCATGATCCTTCAAGTAGTTCGTTAGTGCTGAGTTGGAGCCTCAGAGGGCTTTGTTATAGGGGGGTTTAGGGGGTTTAGGGGTTCAGGGGTTCAGGGGTTAGGGGTTTAAGGGTTTAGGGGTTGGGGTTTAGGGGTTAGGGGTTTAGAGGTTTGGGGTTCAGATCAGGGTTTAGGGCTTAGTGGGGATACTCCTGCCAACACAGAGGCACCAACAACAGGCTCCTCCTGGTACGGAATTCTTACTGTACATGCACTCGGAAAAGGGCCCACCAAACAAAACCTCTAAACCCTAGAGCATAAACCCTAAACTAAAGCCTGAACTCTTAAAGATGACCCTATTCCTATAGTCCCCTTAGGAACTATTTTTTATGTTCATATAAACCTCAAGAGAATGTTAAACGTATTATTTTTTTATTATGGTTCTAAGGCGTGTAATTCTAGAACCCCGAGGATCCTTTAAAGGAGCCCTATGATAGAATGCCATACTGTTGATGGACAAAATCCTGCATGACCCATTATCAGGAATATACCATAGTTCCCATAGTTTAGAGTCCTTAGGGCCATGCAGGATTTTGTCCATCAGCAGTAGTACCCTTTAGCGGCTCAAGACGCAGGTGACGGCGAGCGCTCCTCTCAGCTCTCAGCGCCAAGCCCGAGGCGAACCCATGCCCCGAATTTTTGAAGCAGGGTTTGAGTTAGAAGCCAGAAAGTTGGAATATGATTATCCTAACCCTTCTATGGTAAATTATAGGGTATCCTACCATGAAACCATATTCCAACTTTCTGGAGTTCCCTGTAGGGTTTAAAGTTTAGTGCGTTTAGGGTTTAAGTTTAGGGTTTAGGGTTTAAAGTCGCGGGTTTGGGGTTTAGGGGGTTTTAGGGTTTCGGGTTTAGGGCTTATTTAGGGTTTAGAGTTCAGGGAAGCCTAGCGCTCTGGCATTGGTTTGGTTGTCTTCGGAATGTGATGCTGGATTTGTGGCAACGGTGCGGAGAGGTCACAGGCCAGCAGAGATTTCTTTATCGAGTGCACAAGGGTCCATGTCAAACATCATTAAACAAACAAGCCAATATGGGAGTTTCCGAAATTAGGGGACCCCCCCACAAAAGGTACACCTAATTTTCGGAAAACCCCATACGGTCCATACGTCCTTATCAAGGAACTCAGGGTTCCCGCATGGCAAGACTCCGTATGTATATATATATATATATGTATATATATATATATGTATATACATATACATGTATATGTATATATGTATACACACACACTAAACAGCTAAACACTCAAGTCCTACTACCATAAAATGTCGTCAGTATTTGCGGACAGCCGGAAGTTTGGGCCAAGACGACGGTCATCGAGACTTCAGGGCAGGCCGTGGTTCCCTAGCGCTATGACCCTACTTGGAGGTTCATGGGTAGTTATAAGTGGAGTTATAAGTCCCCTACTATGGGTTATGGTTATGGTTACCTTACTTATAACCTCACTTGTAACTACCATGAACCTCCAAGTAAACCCGAAAGGCTAAACACGGGAGGCCTGAAAACTTTGTGCTGCTGTGCCCTCAGGTTTGACATGGTTCTTCTTTGCCCAACCTTTACAATTTGCCGAAATCTGATAATTTTATTGCTCTAAGCCTTCTCTTTTGTAGTTCATACCTGGACCCCAAAAGTATGTAGAATAATAGCCTTTTATAGGTTTTGGGCCATCATTTTACCTACTTTGGGGGGTCTAGGTGTATACTTTTGCCGGATAGTACAAAAGTCAACGTAAACCGAATCTGCAACCTCAGAGGCAAACCCTATAAACCCTAAGCCCTAAACGCCTAAACCCCAACCCCAAACCCTAAGCCCTAAACACCAAACCCCAAACCCTTCACCCCAAACCCCAAACCCTAAACCCTAAACCCCAAACCCAGAGGAAAGGCTTTCGGGCTCAGCCCCCCAAAAGCCTCAAAACCAGTGCCCGACAAGCTTCAAAGCAGGACAGCCCTGATTCCTGAATGCCAACCCTTGCCAAGCCCGTAAGAGCTTTTAAAGCCCTTAAGAAGCCCTTGAGAGCCCTTGAGAGCCCTTAAGAAGCCCTTAAGAGCCTTTGAAGCACTGAACATATGTTTTCTATTTTTAGACAGTATGTTTAGTGTTTAATTAAGAGCCCTTAAAGTCCTGATCTCTCAAATGTCCCGAAACCGTTAATCGCCTGCAACCAGCAAGCTCGAGTGCGCCTATTTCGCGAATGCAACGCCAGGAGGGATTCGGAGACAAAGGCCACAGCCTCGAAGTGTCGGTGGAAGTACAGAGTTTTGGGGTTCCTTGAAGGAATCTTTAAGGGATCTATAAGGGTACTATTGTAGGGTGTTTAGGGTTCAGGGTTTTAGGGTTTAGGCTTTGGAGTTTCGGGCTTACGGTTCGAGGTTTTGGTTGGGGGGCTGAGGGTTTTGGGTTTTGGAAGATCAAATATTTGCCAATACTCTTCCTTCTGGTTCTTCGTATGATTTTCGTAAAGCCTACTCACCGGAAATCAATCTTTTCTAGATGTTAAATCCTCAAAATGACACGGGTCAGGGGTGGGGTTTAGGGTTTATCGGGATTTGGGATTTGGCGTCGGAGTGGCTTTGTGGCTGAGGTCTTCGTGCGAAGGAGCTTTGGGTACTTTGGGGTTCCGGGTTTAGGGTTTAGCTAGGGTTTGGGTTTACCTGGACCCGAAAGGTATGTAGAATAACAGCCTTTTATAGGTTTTGGGCCATATGTTACCTACTTTTGGGGGCCTAGGTATTCTCCTGTCAAATGAAGACTTCCGCGCGCATGAGCCGATTAGAGTTGGGAGTTCTCTGTTTGGGGTACCCTAAGGCCCCAAAGTAGTTCCTTTTTGGGGTTCATACTTAGAAACCTATAATGTAATCCCAAAAAGGAACTACTTTGGGGCCTATGGGTAAAGAAGCGGAAGCCCGAAGAATGTCTCTTGCCAACCGCAGAGCTTTTCGCAAGCGCTATGACTCAGATACCTATCCCAGACCCCCGGGAGGATCCAAAAAGTAGATCCCTTAATGGGGGTTCCTATAAGGTACCCTTAGTAGTTTACGGCCCCAAATTCGGGGATCTACTTTCCAGATCCTGGTCTCAGATGTTACCAAGACAACTCAGACATAGCTTCACGTCTGCATACGGCCATTCTATTCTCTTGTTCTTTTAGGCTGCGGTTATACCTTTCGCAGGCCACCCTTTTAGTAGAACCAGCCCCAAGCATTGCAAGCATGCTCAAACGCAGCATATACTCATATACGCGTGATCAGTGCAAGTGTAACGGAGTAAGGGCACTCGCTAGACCAGTCTTACTTAAAATGGGTTTGCGCAGTGACAAACGAGGTTCTGGAATTCAGTCTACCCTGAGTATCTCCGCGAATCGACATCTTCGACAGTCCATGGCACTGAGATCGCCTCACCCCTGACCTTGAAAAGATAAGCTCCTAGAGTCCTAGACCTTCCGACCGCAAACTCTACCCTTCCCACCGGCAATTCCTGAACCCCCAATATCAAATCCTGAAGCCCCTGGCCCAAGCTTCAATGCCAAACCCTCAGCCCCAAACTATCAAGCCCAAAACCTCGACCGTAAACCCCCCTAAACCCCTTCACTTCCCAAGCCCCTAAACCCTAAACCCTAAACTCTGAACCCCTAAGCCCTAAACTCCTAAACCCAAAACCCTAAACCCCAAACCCTGAACCCCTAATTAAGCCCCAAACCCCAAAACCCCTAAACCCCCAAAACCCTAAGCCCCTAAACCCCTTTCATCTCTGCGACACTCAGAAAGACGAGCTACTGCACTTTAAAAAAAAAAACCCTGAAAGCCCTAAAGCCCTAAGCCCCTGACCTTTCCGTCCCAAGGCGCGCGAGCGCGACGGGCGCGGGTCGCTCATGGCCTCGCAGAACTCCGAGACTTAGTAGCTGAGTGGATACACTTTACACTTTTTGGGATCATATTACCCACTGTAAAATAAAACTGAAAGTGTACATTTTTTGGGAGAATATTACCTATATAAACCCTAAACCCTAAAGCCACTATAAAGCTGAAAGTGCACGCTTTTGGGGGGCTTATGAACTCAGCAACTAAGGAGACCGTGAAGCGCGAGCAGGCAGAGGCTGCCAAGAGGCCGGCGAATTCCAAAAAGCGGGGTTTGGGGGTTGTTTAGGGTTTTCGTAGGGTTTTTGAGGGTGTTGAGGGGTTTTAGGGGTTTTGGGGTTTTAGGATTCTTAGGGCTTTTTTAGGGGTTTACTGGTGTTGAGGTGTTTCTTGCTTGTAGGGGTGTTTGGGTTGTTTAAGGGCTTGTAGGGTTTTGAGGGTATTTTCAGGGTTTCGGGACGCCGAATTTCGGGTTTTTCGGGGTTTGGGGTTCAGGGGGGTTTCATAAAGCGGTTCTAGAAGGGGGCGGTTAGGAGTTCCACTAGGGTGCTGCGGCGAGATGAGTGTTCCTGAACACTCTGCCAGGTTTCTAGGGCGGAGGTGTCCCACGCCTGTGGGTTCAGTGGGCCTCTAAACCCTAAACCCTGAACCCTAAAACCCTAAACCGACAAGGCCTTGAAGAGATTTCTCACATCTAATGTCAGGCCTGAAGCATGAGGTTCTCTTACAGTGCTAACCTACCCGCTAGGGTGCGGTGTATTGTTAGTAGGGTTTAGGGTTTTGTTGTTGTTATTGTCATTGTTATGATTGTTGTGGTAATAATATCACTACAGTTGTAATGTTATGAGGTATGCTCGGTTGGGGGCCCCTTTGTTGGACCGCTCTCCGCTCACCAGGAAAACCATCTCGGGCGCCATCAACAGCGCCAAGCAGGCACTAGCTCAAAGCCGCAGCGGGCTTGGACCAGACTTGGGCTCAAGGATTTAGGGTTTGAGGTTGAGGGTTTAGGGTTTAGGGTTTAGGGGGTTTAGGGTTTAGAGCTCAGGGGTTTACAGCTGAAGGGCTTGCGATTTGATTGAGGGTTCAAGGCTACGGGGTTGAACGTTTCTGGAGCTGACGGTTGGCTCTAGGCTTTAATTGATCTTTGAATTTAAGGGTTCGTGGATGAAGTTTCTGCCGACTCATTTGGCCTAGTGAGAAGTGATCAAAATTTCAACTCCTTTCAGTCACCGTCACTATCGACCCCGGGAGCTGTAAAGTCATACTGCTGATGGACAAAATCCTGCATGACTCTAAGGGCTCTAAACTATGCGAATTATGGTATATTCCTTATAAAGCGGGTAATGCGGGATTTTGTCCATCAGCAGTAGTGTGGGAGCCTGATCAAGAAACCCTGGCCCTACAGCATAAAATTGCTTAGGATTCAATCAAAAAGCCAGGTTCCTATATGGGAGTTTCCGAAAAATTAGGGGTACCTTATTTTGGGGGGTCCTTATAATAAGCATCCTACTATTTGGGGTGCTACATTAGGGTCCCCTTTTATCGGAAAGCTCCATATCGAAATTCCCGAAGCGTTTGACCTCGTGAACCTTTGTTTCCAAACTCATGGCCCAGAGGTCCACGAACCGAACCTCGAAGGACTTTTGGAGTGAGGGCCCTGAAGCCTTTGAACGCAAACCCCTACTTGGGGGGTCGGGGACTTAGTAAGTAGTTGGTAAGTAGACTTATAAGTACCCTAAAAGGGAGACTAATTGGTGTTGTGGTACTTATAAGTCCCGAAAGTAACCAGTTACTAAGTCCCCCGACCCTCCAAGTAGACCACTAAACCCTAACTCACCCCCTATTTCAGCCCAAAGTAAATAAACCCTAACGAAGCCCTATAATAACCCTCATGGTAACCCTTACAATAACCCCAAAGTAACCCTTACAGTAACCCTTCTTGCAGGTTCAGGGGTAGTTATGAGTAGGGTTATAAGTCCCCTAATATGGGTTATATTTATATATATATATATATATATATACATATATATATATATGTGTAGTTACCCACTTATAACCCTACTTCTAACTACCCATGAACCTCCAAGTTGTAGTACCTGAAAATGCCTGAGGATGGTACAGCAGCTCCACGGCTGTCGCGCTACGCCCGGGCCACAGCGCGACGGTTTAGGGTTCAGGGTTGGGTTTATGGTTTAGGGTTTAGGGTTTAGGGTTAAACCCCAAACCCCTAAACCCCAAACCGTTTAGGGTTTTTTCGGGCTTTGCTCCTAGGGGTTTGGGTGCTTTCCAGGGCTCTAGGGTTTTGAGGGTTTTGTGTTGTTTTGTGATTTCGGGTGTTTTGTTTTGTTTTTTTGGTTTCAGAGCTGCAATTAGGGCTTTAGGGTTTGGGGTTGGGGACACGCAGCACCCTAAACCCTAAACCCTCAACCCTAAACCCTAAACCCTAAACCCTAAACCCTAGCGAGGGCGCTGCTTGGGGGCTTAGAGACAGCGGCAGGGACCACCAAGGATTCGCCACGAGCCTCTGCCGAAAAAACGGTCTACTCAGGGGGATAGGGGGTAGGGTTCGGAGTATAGTGCCGAGGGTGTACAGGCTGTACATAAATGAGGTTTTAAGTTTAAAGTATTTTAAGTACCATACATGGCTTACTCATCCTTCAAGTACCTCATGGAGGCTTGCGCCTAAGGATTTCGTAAGGGTCTAGGTTCGGTGGTGGTTGGTTTTCAAATGGTCGTTTGGCACAAAATTTCAAACATACTCCCTGCCAGAAAAGCCCGTGATGCCAATACAAAAGTGATGTCCGAGGTGATAGAAAGAGTAGCAAGGAGGACGGCAGAATGAGTGAGTGAGTGAGTGAGTGAGTGTGGCTGGGTATTGTGAGGCCCCAGCAGGATCAGCCGTTGCTTCCGCCCGAAGGTTAAAGCGCAAAGCTGCAGGCCGGCTCCACACGAACGCCGTGCATCATGGCAAACCCGATGCACCCTTAACCATGACAGGGCTCTCGAAACCGAACTGGAGAGGACACTAGGCAAGCCCGCCACCTGCACCTCCTAGCAAAGGAAATTGCTAGGAAGGCCGGCATGAGGGCAAGACAGCATGCCATCCTCGATACCTCTGCCAGATCAAACGGCTCTTCCCGACGCAATCGCTCGCGACGGTACTGGGCCAGGTCTGGAGCGTCCCCGACAGGGCGCGGGTTGGTAGCTGCTGCCAAACATGGCTAGTGCTCTTCCCGTTGGATCCCTCCGCGGGTACTGGGCACCAAAGCAGCTCATCCAACCCCGAGGGCGCGACACGCTCATCACTCGGTTCACGCCTGGCGGTGGCAAGGGGCCGCCTCCACCGATGGCAAATAGTCTGCCACCCCCCTGACCGCAAACTCACAAACAGTTTTCCCTCTGAGTGAATGGCCCAATGCCTGCAACTAGCGGCAGAGACCAGCGCGAGAGGGGAGGAGGACGGCAGAAACGGGTCGTCGTATGACGTTGAGTCAGGGCCTTTGAATCCATTCAGGTAGTACAGGGGCTTCACCGGCACCGCCGTGAATCGAGGGTCTTGAATCTCAACATGGTCGCGCCATACTTATAAATCCACCCGAAAGAGTCAACTTAATCTCTTCTTCCTAAACCCCCCAAAACGCCCTGAACCCCACATCCCAAACCTTAAAACTAAACCCTGTACTTAGAGGCTCATGGGACTTAGTAAGTAAGGTTATAAGTAGGTTATATTTAGGATAACCCCACTTAGGGGACTTATAACCCCAGTTATAACCTACTAAGTCCCATGATCCTTCAAGTAATCCCTGAGCCCTAGAACTTAGAGCTTTGAGCCCTTGAGCCCTGGAGCCCTGCAGTCGTGGAGCCCTTTAGGGTTTAGGGTTTAGGGTTTAGGGTTTAGGGTTTAGGGTTTAGGGTTTAGGGCCCAAATCCCAGGTGGCATCCTTCAGGGAAGGAACTGGGCATTGCTCATGGTTGGAAACTCGGACCTGCCCGCCGGTTCTTTCGGTGTATGGATTTTGGGTTTTCCGGCTGAGGTTTAGGCTTTAGGTTGCTCCGTTTTAGGCTGTAAGGTTGAGGTTATAGGGTTTAGGATTTAGGGGTCTAGGTTACTGTAGGGTTATACAGGCTTTATCGGGCTTTACACGGTTTCACAGCCGGTTTGTGGGTCTAAGGGCTGCAGGGTTTGAGGGGCTTTGGGCCTGCAGGGCCTCTGGGGCACCCAGTTGCCCTGATTATTTTGGGGTTTCCTTTTTAAAACAGAAGAGTAGGAAAAAGGGTACCGGCTACTGTAAAGGGGCTACTAAGGAATCACGTACTTCTATAGGGTGTAGGGTTATATCAGGGCCAACCCTAAGCCCTATAAACCCTAAAGCCCTAAAGCCCTAAATCACTAAGCCCTTATAAAGCCTTAAAGCCTAAACCAGGCTTTATATCGGGGCCAGGCTACTCCTTCAACACCGAAACACGTGAAATCCCGAAACCGCCACGCCAATCCGAAGTCGCGAGCTGGCCCCTCCCAGGCAGTTCAAAGATAACTGAGCGCACAAGAGGACCTCCTGTTGTAGTGGGTTTAGGGTTGAGGATTTCGGGTTTAGGATTTAGGGTTTACGGGTTCAGGGTAGTTGCTTGTTCAAGCTTGGTGAAGTTACAGTGCAATACCTCCCGAGAAGCGCTCTAGTTATGGGGCCCTGGAGCCCAAGACCCACAACACAACCCCCCGAAACCCACAACCCCAAGCCCTAGGCTCTCCACTTGTCTTGTGAAGGTTATAGCTTTGCTCCTCGCTTTATTTATGCCGGACATTTGGGTCCTGGCGGGCATCAATGATACGCTCGGGATCGATATCGCCCGGAGCTCGGGGCACAACGTACCTCAGGGTTTTTGGGTCTCACGGGATTTTGCGGGCTGCGCGGCTTTAGGATCTAGGGTTCCTGTGCGTTGCTACATGCTTTTTCCTCGTGCGTCATTCGGGGGATGCGAAGGTGACTCCACATTGCAGGCTCCTTGCGCCAAAGGCCGGCTCGATTTCTACCCCTGCGCACCTCTTATCGTGCCCTGATCCCAAAGGCCCCTACTTGAAGGATCATGGGACTTAGTAAGTAGGTTATAATTGGGGTTATAACTCCCCTAAGTGGGGTTATCCTCATATAACCTCAATTACTAAGCCCCATGAGCCTTTAAGTATATTACCTGATGGAACATCCGGGCTTCGGGCTTGGGTGTCGGGGCTCGGGCTTTTGGCCTTTTACAGGTCAGGGCATAGGTAGGGCTCTTGGAGGTTCACGGAACTTAGTAAGTACAGTTATAAGTACCTTAACTGGGGGTATCAGAAACTATAAGTATAGTTACCTTAATCATAACCCCAGTTACTAAATACCACGAACCTCTAAGCAAGACCTAACCCTAAACCCGACCTGTAACCCCAATCCCGAAATGCTGAGCAGAGCAAAGACTTGACAGCGTATTCTATAGTCTCCTCAGGAATTACTAATTTTTCATTTTTGTTCATCTAAAACCCAAGAGAATATTAAACCTAATGCTTTCATTGTGGTTCTGAGGGGAGTATATATAGTATTACCCTTATCCGAACACTTGGAGACCGGAAGAGGCCATCCTTAGAGCAATTCTCAGGGTTTTTGTTTGCTTGTTTCGTCAGCCGTGTTAAAAGATTTCAGAACTGTGAACTACCCACCTACCGCAAGTCAGACACCCACGCCACTAATATTGCTTGAATTTCGAGAATCTACAAGCCGAAGCCCTGGAAGAAGGAAAGCAGTTGTTGCAGCTTGGGACGAGTATGGCTCCAGGGCACCAGTCCTGCTGTCCTTGCGCTCGCCAGCAAAGCCTTCACCTAAGCCTATTCGTCCAGAAGATGCCCTTTGTTATGCTCATAGTCCTAAGGCGCTCAACAAGCCCTGCAGCCCGAAGCCACGACTCACGACACAACCTAGAGCCTCAACCCTCAAAGCCACGATCCTGGCTCTGCTCATAGTTCTTAACACTACTTAGGGTTATTGTTTAGGTTAGGGTATACCATACCCTGAAACTCTATAACCTGAGCCAATCTGCTACTCCCGAACAGCGCCCTAAACCTTTAAACTCTAAACTGGGCAGCACCTGCACACCCGAGGTCCTGACAATGGTCATGGTACTCTTCACGATTGAGCTGCTCCTGCTCAGCGTCATAGTCCGGAGCTTAGCCACAGGGTTCTGTTTAAGGTCTAGGGTTATAGGTTAAGAGCTTACTGCAGGAGTCTGGGTATTTTACGCATGCGTAAGTCTCTCTTCGTGTGCGCACGTGCTTGCGTGTGCATGTGATCGTTTGCTGGCTTGTTTGGTTTTTGCTTGTCAGCGTCTTTGCGGGTGTTGCCTAGGATGTGATTAATTGCAGGGCTTTGGTTTCCGGCTTGCCGAGTGGGAGACTTACGTGTTGAAAGGCCCGCCACCGTTTGTGGGCAGAGTCGTCGTCTCCAAGTGCTCAAGTGCTCATGCAGACACAAGGACTCTGCAGAGAAGCCGGGACACTGAACAAAGTGTACACTCAAGAACCCCCATCCCAAAAACCCGAGACTGTAAGCTGCTTCCTCTTTCGATGGAGACAGTCGACCTAATCACCCTAAGCCCTAAACCCTCAGAGGCAACTCCCTACTTCAAGGTCACAGGACTTGGCAAGTAAGGTAAGAAGTACCTTACTTCGGCTTATAAGTAGATATGAGTACGGTCACCTTCGTTACAGCCCTGTTTACCAAGTCTCCTGATCCTGCAAGTCACAAACTGCCGGAACCCTAACTTCAATTCCAACTCGCACCCAGGACTCACATTATACCCTCAGCTTTTTCCAGCTTATGGATGTGTTCGGCTGGGCCCTCAGCCGACCTACGGTGCAGCATTGGACCATGACGAAAATACGAGGGACTAGCGGGTTTAGGGTTCAGGGTTTGAACATCCGAGCATCTTTGAGTCTTTTTCAATTGCGCAGAATCACAGAAAGCATCGTACGCCAGAGTGGAAGGCTGGGCCGTGCCGTCTTCTCAGGCACAGTCTCAATGATTTTCGACATCTCGTTTATGCTTGGCGTCGCCGCCAACGAGCCTCAAGTAGCCAGGGGCTCGGATGCCACATGTTTGGGAACTCGGGCTCTTGCTTGGGGTTTCGGGATGAGGTAGAAGACGCAGGGACTACCGTAGGGACCAACCATGGTTTTACGGTCGAGGGGTGGCGGTTCAGGGTGTCACAAGTTCTGGGAGGAAAGGTGAAAGTGATCAGGAGAGAATGCAGGGGGGCGGCACGTACCATAGAAGAGTAAATTCTTAATTACCAATGTTATTCTGTAGGGTTCCCTATTATAAGTATACTATAAAGGGACCCCCAAAGCCTATCCTAATTCTTAAGGCCCCGACATTAGAGGTGGGGGTCGAGTCAGTCAGGGTTCCAGCGGTTAGAGACGCTCGGATCTTAGGACCTGGGATGAAATTTCTTGCAGGTTTAGGGTTCACAGGCTCTACTAGACTCTCAAGTTCTTAGTAGCTTGAGTGGATACACTTGACACTTTTTGGGATAACACTGAATACCATAAAACTACAAGTGTACATTTTTAAGGACTTATGAACTAAGAGTTTAAAGGGTTCCTTCCAGGGTTTAGAAATGGTCCCTCGATTTGTGTCTGTTATGACGTTTGTGTGTCATCAGGGTCCTTTTGACCACGGTTGTTGAAGAGTGTGTTATAAGGACCCGAACGGAGACCCCCCCCCCACATTTCATACAGAGGACTACCCATTTGATATGATAAGCTACGGTGGCTATGCAGGCCCGCATGATGGCGTGTTCATCCCATTGCGGGTGTGTGATGCCCTCCTTTGTGTCTCCTACACACGTCACAATGACGTGCTAGTGCAGTGGCCTCCTGCTCCATTGAGAAACTGGGAAATCCAAATCATGCTGACTGTTAAGGCCCTGATGTTATGAGTTCACGGTTTCGCGGTTTAGGGTCTAGGGTTTAGGGCTTTAGGGTTTAGGGTTTAGGGCTTTAGGGTTTAGGGTTTAGGGGCTTAGGGTTTAGGGTTTAGGGGCTTAGGGTTTAGGGTTTAGGGGCTTAGGGTTTAGGGTTTAGGGTTTCCAATCCAGCACGTTATGCCATGTGACCACTTTCCAAGTCCTAGAAGCACTTTCATCGTGATCTGTGAGATGAACACGTAGTTCCCGGTGAACTCGGCCACCCGACCGACGGACGTTTACCATATGACAGGTAACACCCTTGAGCCTTATTCAGATCGAAACCCTCAGCCCCAAACCCAGGACCCAGCTTTTGCAGTCTACTTACCCTTAAACCTAAACCCTAAACCCCTAAACCCACCAGAAGTAGCAGCTCAAATTTTCTTGAGCCTGGGAATTGAGCAACTCTCTGCTCGACCCTGCGCCGAAATTCCCAAACCCTGAATCCTAAACCCGAAGCCCTAAAATCCTAGAGCCCTAAACCCTGAACCCCAAACCCGTAAACCCCAAAAACCAGAACTCTAAACTCTACTTAGAGGCTCATGGGACTTAGTAAGTAAGGTTATAAGTAGGTTATAATTAGGATAACCCCACTTAGGGGACTTGTAACCCCAATTATAACCTACTTACTAAGTCCCATGATCCTTCAAGTAAGCCTGAATGCACCCTGGAAGCCGAAGGCTTCAAACAGCGCGGACGCGACAGCCAACCTCATGCTCTTGAGGGCAGCCCGAGCCGCCAAGGTGGGTGGGGAGGGACTTCAGGGTTTACCTGGACCCCAAAAGTGTGTAGAATAATGGCCTTGTATAGGTTTCGGGCCATTATTTTACCTAGTTTTGGGGGTCTAGGTAATGTCTTTTTGGGGTTTGGGGTTCAGGATTTAGGGCAGTTTCCAGAAGATAGCACGATAGGGATTATTACAGCCATCGTGTTGTGTGGCAGAAGGTGCTGGAGACAGCGTGGTACGGGGCTTTTGGCATGCGGCGTCGCGTAATGGAGATCCTATCTTTTGATTTTGGGTCTGAGGTCGACAGGTTTAGGGTTTAGGGTTTAGAGTTGTGAGTTTCAATTCGCAAATGATGTCCATTGGGTTTGTAGTGTTGGGTTCCTCAGGGTTTAGTGGCGAGAATTCACCAAGTTGTATTCTTTGATGATCAATGAGTTCGTAGAGTTTAACCCTAAAAGTAAACTAACAGGCCTTCTTAGAGGTCGCAGACTCCAAGCCTCTGGGAAAAAGGAGTTCCAACAAAAACACTTACAGGACATTTGGAACCCTAAACCCTAAACCCTAAATTAAACTCAAAGGGACTTTAGAATTTAGAACCCACAGGACGTTTGGAACCCCAAACCCGAAACCCTAAACCCTAAACTCAAAGGACTTCAGAAACCTATATAAACCCTAAACCCAAAGGACTTTGGAATTTCGAACCCAGGATCGCCAGGGGCTTCTGGCTGTGGTTTCCGTGGGTTTGGGCAGTACATCGGGCCTCGGGGCGAAGCATAAAAGTGCGATGTAATGCAGAAACCTTAGGATTCTATAAGGGTTCCTTTAAAGGGGCTGTAAGGGTACTATAGGGGTTTTCGGGGTTTTGATACAGGAACCTGATTAAGAAATCTTGGGCCTTTATTGGGCTTCCTTATGTGAATCCTACTATTTTGGGGTTGCAGGCCAAGGGTTTCTTAATCAGGTTCCCACATTAATGCTCTAGAATGCACAAGACGTTCTAGTGCGACATAGGCGAAAGGAATCGTGACCGAGCTTCATCGACGTTTGAGGGGACATGCAGCGAAACTCAAAGGCACACACTGTCCCTAGATCTGAACGTCCAACTTAAAGTGCCGGACCACCCAGCCCCTGACTCGAATAATAATCAGATAGAGCCCTGTCTCGAAGAACAAGTGGAAGTTTCATGCGAGAAAGCGAGGCAAACGCGCGCAGACTAGCAGACGACCAATGGGAAGATCATGTTTCAGTGATTGAGGTAAAAGTTTTTGCTGACATTAACAACATGCAATCTAAGCTCCTCTGGGGGGCCTAGGGTCGAGAGTTGGGCATCTACACAGCTATCTAGGACCGAGGATTCCATACGGAGCTGTGTAAATCCTGAATCCCAAACGCCAAATCCTAAACTGTCATCCGTGCGGACACTATGCATCTATATGTGTATCCTAAACTCCGACCTCTGAGCCCGAATTTAGCCGTAAGCCCTCTTAAGCCTTAAGCCACGGGGCTTGGGAGTCTGGAAGCCAAGGCCCACGACCAATACTATTTCTGGGGGTTCCTTACTATAGATGTAGCCCCCAAAACCCTACTTTGAGGCCCCCCCCCCCCCCCCCCCATATTACGTGTTGCACGTGAACCTTACATAAAAGCCGCGGCCCCGAAACCGAAAGAACCCTCAAACCCCAAGCGCTACAATTCCTATGATACGGCCCTATCAGCTCTATACACCCTAGAAACTCCGTAAGCCCGAAAAGCTGCATAAGCCGCATAAACCCTAGACGCCCCATACGCACGAGATGCCTTGACACAACCCAAACAGGATTATCGGACCCTAAAGAGCCCCAGAAGCCCTACACTATAGGGGCCTTAATAATTAGACTAGGCTTTTGAGACCCATTATACTATCATCCTAATAAGGAGCCCCCGAAAATAGTATTGGTGATTGTTTCGGCTCCTATATTATAGTACCCTTATAGTAACCCCTTAAAGGAACCCTGGTGCACCAGAAACCTGATAAGCCCAAGAAGACCTAAACAGGTTGGGGCACGAGCAGGCCGGCTCTCACGGGCCAGGGCCTCGGAAATTTGTTCTGAGGGTTTTAGGTGGCTCTCTGTCTCTTTGTCTCTCTGTCTCTCTCTCTCTCTCTCTGTTTTTTTTTCGTTTTTTGAGTGTTTTGTTGGTTTAGCGTTCAGTATGTTTTGTTGAAGGTTTAAGGTTTCATAGCTTGTCTCTTAAACAGGGTGGTAGCAGGATTTATTGCGCTGCAACGGGTTTGAGAAGGGTTCGGACTATGGGTCAGGATTGAGGGTCAGGTATGAAGCGTTGTAAAAAAAGTGAATATAGGGGCTTTAACCATTACCTATACCTTTTTGCGGGGGTTCCATTTTAAAATTATTATATAAATAGTATACTTTGTTCTAACTATTAAAGCCTAAGGGCCCTATGTTGTGGTCCGGGGTTTGGGTTTGGGACAGAAGACTTTCCCTAAACCCTAAACCCATTCAGGGGGGGGGGGGCAGGGATTGAGGGCTAAGCCCGAGTAACCCCCCCCCTTAATTAACGATAGTAATCCTTATAGACCCCTTTAAAAGGAACCCTAAACCCCTACACCAGCGCAGCAGGCTTTTTTGTGAGCATGTTGTAATGCAGCGGCAAATGATACAGTCGTCGCCGTCGTTGTTGTTGTCGTCGTCAACGGCGACATCGCCGCATCTTGTTTCGTGAGTTGGGGTATACTATATGGGCAGTGACTGTACTGTTAACAGTGGTGCTGTTCCTAGCTTTAGAAGCAGCGTCATCATCCATTGCGCCCCAGTCGTTAGCCTGCAGGCCTTTGGGTTGGGATCTACTTCAGTGCCCACTTCAGTATATACCCAAAACGATCGCCTTCACAAGGATCCTTGCCAATAGGCATAAGCCCCAAAACCCTAGAGCCCTAAACCCCTTGGTCCAAAGGCAACCCTGCAACCCTCTAGCCCCACGGCCCCGGAGCTCTTGAGCCCTGCAGCCCTAGTCCTAAGCTTTAATAAAAACAGAGTCCTAACGCTGCGAAGCCTGACCAGCACCCTTGAATGCATAAAGGCTGCAAAGCCCCAAACCCTGAACCGAAGGTTCTCCGCTTCCTCCGGTTCTTGCCTTTCCTCGCCGGCGGGGATAAGCAACACGAAAACCAGCCCGGACCTCAAATCTAATCTAGGCCTCTAGAATTACAAATACTTGGCTACGGCTCAAGGCTCAAGTGGCTCAAGGAACTCTGTAGATTCCCCAAAAGCCCTTCCACTGCCTTCAAGCTTGGCGCTCGAGATCTACTTGATTCGCCGCAAGGAGACTGGCAACACGGGCGTCCTCGAGGCCTCCTGCTTGATTCTGAGCTTGCTCGTTCTGATCCCTAAGGGTGTTGCTCCTCTTGTTCGATTAAGAGATTCTTCCCTTCGTCTTCGTGATGCCTCCAAAGGAGCGGGGCTCACCCACCGAAATTGGTGATGACACCGATGAGGACCTCAAGGAGGAACCTGCTGGTGACGAGGATAATGTCCAGGGTGCTGCCGGGGGTTCTCCTAGGTTGGCAATGCATGTCGACGGCACGGGTGGCTCCCCTTCGCGAAGTAAGCGTGCTCGTGATAATGATGGGCCTGAACCAGAATCTCGTCGACCTCTATCTCCTGGTGATGATCGCCCTGTCTCCTCCCGTGAGTTTCGTCATCTCCTTCAAGAGCATCTTCAAACTATGACCCAAGCGTGGGGTGAGATGAACGGTAGGATGACCAAAGTCGAAAAGGATGTTAGTGCCAACAAGACCGAAAAGGACCTGATGTATTCCCGCATTGCCCAGACTGAGAGGAAGCAAGCTGAAAGCCTGGGTCGCATCGAGAAGATTGAGAAGGACCTTCAAGAAATCCGTGCTTCGGGGAGTGCGAGTGGGTCCAATGGTGGACAAGACGGTGCCAACCGCCCTGGCTCTGTCCCTTCTGATCCTTGGTCAGCACACCGTGCGAAACATGGTCCGATGCAGCCGAAAGCGAATCCTGCAGGTCCTGGTGGCGATGGCCGTGCTGAACCTGGACGTGATGCAGCTGGAGGACGTGAGGGTGGTCCTCGTGATGAATTATCTGAAGAAGATCGACGTACCCTAGTGTTTGGAGGGTGGGCACAGGACAGCAAGCGACAGACCATTCTTGAGGAAGCTGGAGCACTACTTCGTCGAGAGGATGTACAACCACTTGTTGACTGTCAGGAGCTGACAGTATACGGGCCTCGTCGGTCATTTGGGCTTTTACGGTTCAAACCTCGTGCTGATGAAGATACTCGGGGTGTTCGTGACAGGATGTGGAAGGTGATCCAATGCCTTCGTGCACAACCACATCGGCTTGCCTCTACCATGCAGGGTGGTCCAGATCCTCTTGGACGACCGATGTGGGCACAGTTTGTCAAGACTCGTGAGGCCCGACGCAGAAGTTCCCATGGATCGTTGCTTCGACGGGTGTGTCTACAACTTGCCAAGGATGCCGCGCACCAGGGTGAGGCACACAATCCTGCTGCGGTCGAGGAGGGTGCCTTTGATGTGGACTGGAATGCGGGCACGGTGTGGCTTGGTGAGTGGAAGCTTGGTTCAAGCACACATCGTCCTCCGGTACATGAGGATGTCAAGTTGCTCTCGACCGGATGGGTAGATGTGGGCTCGGTTGCCAAGGCCCTGGGTGTTACCTGGGATTCTGCACTTGGCGCCTTTGAGCGCGAGCTGTGAATCGAGAAAGGGGATGGTTTCACCTCTTCACTTCCTGCTGCTGCTTCCGAAGGACAGGCTGTAGTTGGTGGAGAGCGTCCCATTTTGGGATGTACGATGGCCTCATGGAATCTGGGTGGACAGTCGCTGCCTAAGGCTGACGTGGTGAGTGGTGCTCTTGATCTCCTTTGCGTTCAAGAAGTGCCTCGTTCCGAACCTGGATGGCGTGAGGACACGACAGATGGTTTCACATGGTTGCTTCATCAGAGTTCTATCCAATGGAGAGGTGTTGGCATTGGGGTGTCGCATGATTTGTTTGACTGCACAACGGATCGTCGATCTTGCTCACATGGTGCTGCGTGGGTGGTTCGCCTACGTAATGCCAAGCGCTTTGTGTTGGCTTCGCTACATCTTCCGACTGGGGTCCCGGTGCAGGAGTACTACAAGGCTTGCAGCAACTTCCGAAGCATGCTTGCTGGGTGGCATTCCGATTTGCCCTGTGTTGTGGGTGTTGACGCCAATGTTGAGTTGATTTGGAGCCGTGCTGATGATCGGGAAGATGGTGTTGGACTTCAGTCAGGAGGCAAAGTTGACAAGTTCCTGGAGATGTGTGGGTGTTTGAGATTGCAGCCGCAAGCCCCGAGGGTTGAAGATCGTTGGGTGCCAACTCACTATCCACGAGATGAAAGTCGGGATGGCCGCCATATTGACTGTTTGCTGGTACGAGGTCTTGCTTCGTCGCCGGTCCTTGTTGATTCTGAAGTTCGACTACATATCAACACTGACCATGCTCGTCTACATTGTCGGGTGGAGCTTCAAAAAACTCGTGGCGGACGTTGGAGAGATGGACGTGCTCGCTGGGTGTGTGATAGTGACAAACTATTTGAGCCTGAAACTTGGGAGGATGTCAAGAGGATGGCACACTTGTATACCCGGCCTCGCCCGGCTGTTCGCTTCAAGGATGACGCTGAGACCTTGGACATGATCCATGATGCGAAAGCTGCCCGTGGAATAATCGCCAAAGATCTTTGGAAGAAGGTCCATGCTATGAGGAAAAAGAAAAGACGTGATTGGAAGCAGAATCGGGTGTTGTCGATCCTTGGGGGCAATTGGCATGCTTACCGTGACTACAAGAAAGAACGTGGCCGAAGGAATTGGTGGGGCAGACTGCTACAAGACACGCCTGCGTGTGAGTTGGGCGACAAGGTGGCACAGCATCTTAAGAACAAAGTTCATGATGATGGCATTGATTGGCATTCTGATCTAAGTGCGCGACTTGATGCCGTTGAATGCCCTGACTCCTCGTTTCGGCCGATCTCCTGTGAGGAGGTCAGTGCGGCTTTGACGGGTATGCGAGCACGTTCCGCATTGGGGCCGGACCTTGTGGGTGTGGATCTCCTCCGAAAGATCTTTGAGTTTGCCCCTCAAGCACTATGCGCGTTGTTCAATGAGGTGCTGCACAGTGGAGTGTTGCCTGAAGACTGGGATGTGTCGTTGCTCGCGTTGTTGCCCAAGACGGCTTGGCCTGCGGGGGTAGCTGATCTGCGACCTATTGCTATGTCCTCTGCATCCATGAAGACACTGTCACGCATCATCATGTCACGTACATTCCCTGCTATGAGGCGACCCTGTCCTTGGACAGCTGCTGGGTGTGGACGGTCATGTGCAGACATGCATGGGACGTTCAGTCGACTTCGTGACATGAGTCGTGAGTGGCGTGTTGGTGTCATTGCTGTTAAGCTGGACATTCGTGGAGCTTTTGATCATGTCCACAGGCGCGCAGTGGCGGACTTCATCACAACACATCTACAGGGTGAGGACGTTCCTTTTGAGACGCGATTTCTCCTTCGTCTTTTGGATGTTAACCGCTTGGAGGGGTGTGCACCTGGGGGCGCTCGTCTGTCTGTTGACTGCAATCGTGGGATTCGACAAGGCTCGCCTGAGTCGGCCGAGATCTTCGGGCTCCTGGTCTCGTGCATCATTTCTCGGTTGAAGTCAGGGAATCAGTGGCGAGTTCCCAACGGCCTCCTACAAGATCTCCCTGCAGATGTGGGATGCTACCAGGATGATATCTTCGTGTGGGGTGAACAATCTGGTCCCATCTCCCACAACATCGGCCTTATCTCCCAGGCCTTGCGGGAGGTTGGTCTGGAGCTCGCTCGGGAAAAAACGTCCATCATTGCTAGTAAGTACTACAAGGGTGTGCGATATGTTGTGGTGGACGGACTTCGTGTTGAAATGCAGCCGCCGGGTAGCTCGATCCGAGTTCTTGGCCTTGACTTCGACTTTGATGCCCCTGCTCATCAACAAACCAAGGAGGTAATGGGCAAGGTGTGGACTGCTTTCCATGCCAACAAAACACTGCTCTGTGGTCCTGGGTCACGTGCTGCCAAAGTCTATCTGGTTCGCATGCTTATCGAAGGATGTTGGAGCTGGACGGCTGGTTCTCTCCACTGGGAAAAGGACGATCTACGAGCCATGAATTCCCTCCAACTACGAGTGCTTCGTTTGTGTTTTCGATGTCCTCGCCGAGAGGGTGAAGATTGGGTGTCGTACAACTCCCGCTCCCTACGTGACCTACGTTCTTGGGTGTGTAACAATGGCACTGAAAGGTGGAGTTCCAAGATTTTGCGACTACAGTTCCAACTTATGGGACACTGGTCGCGACGTTGGGAAGGGGGTGTTCGTTGTTTGGCTGGGCGCATGCAACTTTGGCGATGCCTAGCTTGGTGGCAGACTGAACAAACCTTCACACCTGCTGCTGGAGGGAAACGTCACCCTCGCTGCTTTCGTGCTTCTAATCTTGAGCGCTCTCTTGCTACAGCTCTGGGTGTCAACTGGCCTGTTGCTGCTGCGAATCGTGACGGGTGGCGACAGCTCTTGAAAACATGGCTAGATGCTGAGGATGTGCAGTGGTGTAGTGGACGCCAGGCGGCAATTGGGGCGTAGACTTTGAAGGTCTCCTGTATGGCATTGCATTCTTGCTGCATGACATGTCACTAGTGAAGTCTGCTGACTGAATCCATGGATGTGATCCTGCGGTGTGTACTTGCTGTGCCAGCTCGAAGCCTTCTACGTTTGAACATGTCAGTTCGAAATCTTCTACATGTGACAGACAGACACTTGGATGTTTCTACTTTGATATACTTTCGTATCGAACTACCTGTAGTTGTGCGCAGAATGGTGCGACGTGGTCGGTGCTGCCTGCTTGCTGTGGTCTGTGGGGCCCTCGCTGGTTCTCTACGGGCGTCTGTACGTGCAGAAGTTCCTCCTCCGACGCCTCATGCTGATGATGCTGGAGTGGGTGGCTCTGCTAATGGTGTTGTGACTCTGGAACCTGAGTGCTGTGCGTGTGTGTCGACTACTTCGTCTACTACGTCCACTACATCGTGGGTGGTTGACGAGCAACCCCAACCCGAACCATACCCTGAAAACACAGCGAATGCTTGGAACTCTGGTGGTGGGTCTACACAGACGCGACGCTGGCAACGAGCCCGTGATGATACTCCTCGTGAAGAGGAACGTGAGCTTCGTGATGACGGGGTGCATGCTTCTCGTGGTGGCTGGGGAACTTCTGACTACAGCGAGGAATGGCCGCGACGCCGGGACCGTCGTGATGATCGTGGTGCAGATGCTTGGCAGTCTGGTTGGGATGTGGCCTATTGGTGGGTGCCTGCTGAATCAGGATGGGGTGATGGACATGGACATCCTGCTCGTGATCCTCCTGGTGGTGGTGGTACCTCTTCTTCGTCTTCGGCAACACGTGGATGGAGATGGGATGGCTCGGGGCGTGAGCGGGCACATGGTTTCTGGGTGCCTGCTGGTTCTGGATGGCGTGGAAATGGTGCACGAATGGATGGTGCTTTATACCCTGATCGTCATGGACATCCTGCACGTGATCCCCCTGCTGGTGGTGGTACCTCTTCCTCGTCTTCGGCAACCAGTGGGTGGAGACGGGATAGCTCGGGTCGTGAGAGACCACATGGTTTCTGGCGCGCTGGTCGTTGGATCCCGAGGCAACGTACTGACTCTGAAGAGCGGCTACACCGTGGAGGCCAGGGCCCTGTTCGTCTTGAGAGGCGACAAAAACGGGTGGATGCTTGGGAAGACGGAAGCTTTCGCCCCGCAGCCTTCCGTCGTGGTGTACCGGACATGAACAGTCCGGCTATGCAAGAACTTCGACTACAAATGCAGAATCTACTACGAACTGCTGCTGCTGCTGAAGATCGTCGTGTACCTGTTCCTGTACCTCCTGGAGATCATCGAGGAATTCATGCTGCCCCTGATGAACATCGTGGACATCATCCAGTTCGTGTTCGTGGTGACCCTGGAATTTCTTTGGATACGAGGCCGCTGCAATGGACGTCGCAAGACTGGGAAGACTGGGAGAGATGGAGCAATTCTCTCCTTGTGACAAACTGGGTGGAACCGGGAATGCCGTCTTGGGAGTTTATTCCGGGTGGCCCTGATGAAGATGATGATAGTGGTTCCTTCATGCAGCTGACGAACGTCGAGGAGAATGTGCTGCATGACATGGATGTACCCGACACAGTACGCCGGTGTGTGCGTGACATGCTGCGGACGCTGGAACAACATCAGGCTGGGGATGTCGGTGCTGAGTTCAGGTGGGGTCTACGACGATGGTTGCAATCTTGGCGTCGTGGATGTGAACAACTTGATGTGATTGTCCGGATGCTGGAGGCTCGAGTGGATGGACCACTACCTTATTTCCCTGTGCTACGTACTCCCAGGGAGATGGCACAACATGAACGATGTGTGGCTTTCAACAGGCAATGGACTGCGGTTATACTTCCACTCTTGGAGCACTTTGTGGACGTGGCCATGGTACAAGGATGTCCTGCGGAAGATCGCGATGCCACTACAACAGGTGCTACCACTACGGGAGGAAGCTCTGGAAGCCAGCCTGGAGGATCGGCTCGTGAACGTTCTCGTTCCCGTGATGGGGTGCCCGTGTCAGTCGAATCTTCGTCAGCATCCTCGTCGCCTTCCTCACGACCGAGAACCCGCCGTGCAATGCGGCGTAGTGGGGTGTCCACTGCCGTGGGGTCCCGAGACACACCTGGTGCTGCAGATGAGGCGTCGTCTAGTCATGAGGGGGTGAGCTTGGTACAGAGACTCCAAGCTGATGAGGCTCGGACGCTCACTGGCTTGGGTGTACGCCGACAGACGGTGCAAGCTCTTGGCAACTTCCTTGAAACACTTGCGCAGTGTGCTGCTGGTTCGGGCGCTGGAGATTTGGAAGCTGCTACGGTCCAATGGTGTCTTCATGCTGTGGAGCTGTCGATGCAGCATGCCATCTCTATGCAAGAGGAAATACAGGTCGTTTTGACTCGTCGTCTTCGCCGTGAGGGTGGACCCCTTCCTTTGCCCACTGAGGCCCAGAGGGGTGCAGCTGTGCAAGCTGGACACGAAGCAGTTGTCGGAATGGCGCGTGGCTACCTTCTTGAGTTACATGAACGGCTTTCTGACTGCTGGTTGAACCCTGAAGCTCTCCCTGAACATCTTCGGGGTGTTCCCGTGACGAGTGATGAAGGCAGTCGTGACAGGTCGCGAAGTCCTCGTTCTGGGCGTGGAGATGGTGCTTCTCTGGCGGATGAAAACACCGTGGATGATACTGTTGCTATTCGGGGGCGTTCTGGTGGTGAAGTACGTGACCTCCCTGGTGGTAGTGAGGATGTGTCCTTGATGCAGAACCTCAACATTGTGGAGGCCCAGAACTTGGATGATGATATGGTTGGTGGTCACTGCATACATGCTCTGGGCACACTGTTGGCTCGCTTTCGTGAACTTCGTGCAGCTGCCTGTGGATCTGACGATGTCAACTGGTACGTGGGTGTGCTTGCTGAAAACCTTCGTGTGGCCATTGGAGCTTTGCGCGGACTTTGCAGTGTTCTGGAAGCTCGTGAGGGGTGTGTACATCGACTTCCTCCTGAACAACAACGCCGTGAACTACTTGACCTCTCTGTGGAGTTCTTGCGAGAAGTGGTGCAGGTTGTCAACAATCGTCTGGTGACTGGTGTCGAATCTGCATGGGTTGATCCTCACACTCTACCATTGCACCTACAAGCACTTACACCTGAACAACCTCGACCACATCGACCTCGTCCTGATCGTTCCCGAACCCCTGCTCGTGGTGGTGTTGATCGTGATGTATGTTCGGGTGTGCCTGCAGGACGTGAACCGGTCTGTGAGTCGGATGGTGATGGTGGTGCTGTCTCTTCCCAGGGTGTGATGGATGTGGGTGTGAACGATAATGGAAGCGAACGGGCACAAATCACGACAACGGCGACTTCTACAGGATGAGTGTGTTTCACTGTTCTAAGTTGATGGCTCTGAGCCAGCGCAGCGGAGAAAGGGGCGCATGTCAACTTTAAAAAAAAAGAATTACAAATACTATTCGGGGGTTCTTCATTCTAGCTGTATGATAGACCACAAACCCTAGTCTAATGATTAAGGCCCCTATTTTAGGCGATTTTCAGTGGTTGTCATTGTCGTTAAGGGTTTTGGTTTTAGGCTTGAGGGTTTATAGCTTGTTGGGTTCATGTGGCGTTTATAGGGTTTAGGGTTTACGGGTTGCCATTGTCGTAAAGGGTTTAGGGGTCTAGGGTTTAGGGGTTTAGGGGTTTAGGGTTTAAGGTGGCGAGACGAATTACCAGTTCTATGCTTAGTTTATATAGGCGGTTCTTAAGCGGGTTGTGGTTAGGGTTGACGGTTTCGGGTTCAGGGTTCAGGGTTGAGGAACAAGGGTAGGCGTTTGAAAGGGTTGATTCGGGTTGTGTATCAATATTTACAGGTTTTTGGGGATGGTGAGCACGGCATCAGGGGCTTCGGGACACCGAAAAGGGCTTCCAAATTGTAGGGTATGGGGCCGAGGTTTCCAGGCTGCACAGTCTTGTAGCAGTTATTCATAGTTATTCATTGGTGATACAACTGATAGTGACAATCACAAATTATACCAATACTAATATACCAATACTAATTGCAAAAGTAGCCATCAAGAATAACAATAACATAGAAATAACCATGATAGTGGTAACACTTACATCTAGTTTAGGCCGATGAGGAAGCTGACCCCGGCTGTGCCATTCTTGGCCCAATATATATTCATATATATATAATATATATATATATATATATATATGCGCCAGTGTCACGACTGGGTTATTGGGAGTGGCGGACCCTGCACCCAAAGATGCTAAGCCAAGAAGGGAGTTTCCAAAAATGGGGGCTACCTGAGTTGGGGGTCCTTATAAAAAGGATCCTACTATTTAGGGTACTATATTAGGGCCGCCTATTCTCGGAAACTCCCATGATCCCCCGAAAACTTGAACCTTGAACCACAAAGACAACCCCCAAACCCGGAGCGTTCCCAGCCTGCTGCCCGAGGACCGGGATTGCTTCGATGATCTCGGGCCAGCTAGCAAATCTGCCACGCGCCGAGTTCAGCGGTTCTGGGGTTTAGGGTTCAAAGTTAGTTTAGGTAAACCCTAAACCCTAAACCCTAAACCCTAAACCCTAAACCCTAAACCCTAAACATGAGTGTTACATGGATCAGTAACAGTGAGCGCTCTTTGGGGTCTGCAGAGCTACTTGTGTAATGACACTTTGGGGTTGAAGACTCATCTGCAAGCAGAGGCAGGATGCCGGAGTTGTCTTACCTTTGGTTAGTAGGGAATGGAGGAATGGGGTACAATTATAACTACTCTTACTACCATTCCTCCATTCCCTACTAACCAAAGGTAAGTACTTAGAGGCTCATGTGACTTAGTAAGTAAGGTTATAAGTAGGTTATAATTAGGATAACCCCACTTAGGGGACTTATAACCCCAATTATAACCTACTTACTCAGTCCCATGATCCTTCAAGTAGACCCTAAACCCTAAACCCTTTAGACCCCTTTAAGGAACCCTATAGATCCCTTTAAGGAGCCCTTTAAGGAACCCTTAGGGGACTGCAACATGTTGTGTGGGGCTCCTTAGGGCTCGGAGTGCTTGTGCAGCGGACTGCGCCCAACAACAATGACAATCTCGGATGCAAGGTTCGGGGGCCTCAAAAGGTAGGATGAAGGTAGGTGGGACATTCCCAAATAAGAGTCCTTATATAAGGGAGCCTTAATCCCACCTACCTTCGTCCCACCTTGTGAGGCCTCCGAAAGGTTTGTTGGGATCAGTAGTCGGCTTTATCATGAAGGGTTGGCTTTGGCTGTGGTGGAGTGGCGGTTTGGCACAGAAGGGGTTGAGGGTGTAGGGCTTAATTATTTGACGTAAGCCAGTCTCCAGAAAGTTGGAACATGGATCAAGGATGATGAGTGCTGGGGTTCCCTGTGCCTGGCCTCCCTTGCCCTAAACCCTAAACCCCTAAACCCCGAAACCCCAAACCCTGAAACCCTAAACCCTAAACCCCTAAACCCTAAACCGACGGCAATGTTCCGACTTTGACTTTTATTGTCGGTCCCGGAACTCCAAAGCTGTGCAGCCGGAAAAGTCGGTTTGAAGCCTAAAGCCTAAGCCCTAAACTTAAGGGTTTAGGGGTTAGGGGTTTAGAGTTTAGGGTTTAGGCTTTAAACCTTTCCAGGCCGCTCAGCCAAAAATCATGCATTCAAAAAATCCTGCAGGTCTAAACTCGCAAGCAGATAGAGCCGCTCCTTGTGACCTTGTGCTTAAAGCCCGTAGCCCTGGTTCTCTCGGAGCAGAGACATATTTCTATGTAGGGTTGCGGGCACCGGAAACTACCCTACCCCAACCCCCTAAACCGTAAACCCTTCAAATCAAAACTTGCGCTCCGAATAGTTTTCTACGAAGCCTAAGAATGCAGATCGGAAGAGAAGCGAGCCCCGAATCTACACCCCAAACCTTAACACTAAACCTCAAGTCCCCTGTAGTAAACCCTTATAGTAACCCTGATAGTAACCCCGATCCCTGAAAATCAACTCTATGAGCTGAGGGTTGCTACTCGTGTGGCCTGCCTCACCATCATCTTGGTGATGGCCGGGGCCTCAACGAAAACGCTTGGGAAAGGATCTCCCATTAAGGGTTTGGGGTTGACGGTTGCCCCTCGCAACAAGCCCTCAGGACTGTAGTTTCAATTTCACTTGTAAAGATACATACTTCACTCAGGTCCGTGTAAGCCCGTAATATGTATAGTATATCCCCTATAACCCTCATAAGCCCTATAAGCCCTGGAAACCCCGAAAAGCGTTCACGGAGGTGATTCCACTGTTCGACATCTGGACATTTCCTCAGACGGACACCTGGGCGGGGTCGGCTGTAAGATTGGGCGGTTGGGCTTGAGCTCCCCGACGCCTAAAGGCCTTAAGTAAGGATTCCCCTGTTTAGCTCATTGCACGACTTTGTTTGCATACATCATGCAAGGAAGGATTCCGCTGAGTTCAGACCTTTAGACTTGTTTTAGGGTTGTGGGTTTGGGTTTCGGATTCAAGGTTGTTACAGAATTCATGACCCCTTTCTTCGCTGTTTGGGGTTTGGGTTCCGGGTTGAAGGTCAGACGTTAAAGACGTGCAGGAACTTTGCTGAATTCAAGCTCTAGTTTCTCATGTCGCCTGGTACTGGTGGTGCCGGGGGGGGGGGGGGGGGGGGGGCGGTGGAGTCGGGAGCCTCATCACTTCGTCATCTTGTTCCATAGATTAGAGCCGCTGTGAAGCCATAGTATGACATCGTTACATGCCTCCAAGCCCCTCTACACCGTAAACCTTGCGGCCTACAGTATAACCCTCTACTCAAACAACGCTTAGCCCGAACTCTAGGACCCAACAGCCCAAAACCCTCAAACCCACAACCTTAAACCCCAACACCCTACCCAAAACCCAGAAGGCAGCTTCGAAGCTCTAGCGTTTGATGACGAGATCCAATCCTATCCATGATAGGGAATGTAGCGTATGCATGTATGCATGTATATATAGATAGATAGATCGTTAGACAGTCAGATAGATAGATCGAGAGATAGATACAAAGAGAGAGATGAGGTGAAGGCATTTCGGGCTTAGGTTTTCGAGAGCTTAGGGTCCTTGCCAAACAACATGCTTCATTACCTCATTGAGGGAATGCAGGGTTCTGTGCGTAGCAGGGCCTAAACCCTCAACCCGAAACCTGAAACCCCAAGCCCTGCAGGACTATTCCCTGCAGACATGGGTGAATCGCCTTTCCAACAACATCGCCGAAGGGAGGCCTGGGCTATTAGGTGCTTTAGGTCTTAGTCTTAGTGAGTAATGCGACATTCTCCATAATAAGCTGCGTTTCCTACAACATCCAATAGCTCAGGTGTTATGCTGCAAGGTGATTGAGGCTTCTGTCCATGTCAGCATTTGGTGCAGTCAAAACAGCGCCAACGCTCACCAATGCTGGAAGCAAGAAGCATGTGAATTCGACAATACCATGCAGCACCAGAGACGGAGTTGTGTGTTTGTTCTTCAGCTGGCATGTTCTGTACAATGTGGTGCATGTTCAATCTGGTTTTGTTTGCGCCGGCGAGAGTGGCGAAAATATAATACTAACGAAGACGGGGTTCATGATTACTTAGTAGTACAAAGTATGAGCGCGATGATGGTCCTAACAGTTGCTAGCTCATGGTGATGCCCAGTCCTTCATCAGCAGGCTTTTGGATCATGTGGCACTCACGGGTACGCCTGGGCGCCGAAGCACTGGAAGCCCGACGTCCTAAACATAAGTACCAGTACCCTGTAGTACGATTTAAGGGTAGACTAGCGCTCACCTAAAAATCTGAGAATGTATTTCTGAGCACATGAGTGCAGAAGAGACTCACGCGATTGCAGGAATGCGGACACTCTTGCGGAGCTAGACCTCATGAAGGAGAGTGGTTTAGGGTTCAACGGGTCTCTGGGTGGTGTGCTGGGGAGCTGGAGCTTGTTTCTACTTGTCATAGCTCTAAGTGTGTGTTTTTTTTTGGTGTTGGGTTCTTGACCTCTCAAAAAGCTAAAAGGCTTATTCACCTACCCTAGGGTTTAGGGTTTGGTATACCAACAGGGTGTGGCGTTGAGGGTTTAGTATACCAACGGGTTTAGTGTTTAGGGTTTAAACCTAGGGGAGCCCTTCTTGTTCCGAGGTCCTAGTGAACGTTCGTCAGAATCCCTGTGCCTCTGCAGAAGCTCATGGGCAGTCCTTAGTTAGAAATCACTGAGCCGAATGGGTAGTTGTCAAAATTAAGGTCCCTTTTTGGGCAGCCTGAATATTAGGTGCCGTATTATCAGAGGGACCCAAAAAGGGGCCATGATTTTGACAGCCACCCACATACTTTCATCAGCAGGGGTCTCCCCAAACCCGAAACTCTAAGCACTCTAAAAATCCCCAAAACCTAGGTCCCCGAAATGCTTAAGCCCCAAGCCCTAAAGCTCTAAACCCAGAAGCCCTAGAAGCAGAAACCCTAGAAACTGCCCAGAGATCCCAAGACTCCTTAATTATAAGGGTTACGCTTTAAATCATAATATTATGGCCTCTATAATTTAAGGTAAATTCCTGAATTAAAGAAGTTGGGTTCTCCGGGGGCAAAGTCCAAGTCAAGATTTGGGGCTCGGGGCTTTCGCGTTTCACATTCAGGGCTCAAGGGATCGAGTAACGGGACTTGACTTCTGGATGTGGGGATTGGGGAATATTTGGACGGTTCATGGGTAGTCATAAGTTTTAAGTGGAGCTGTAAGTAGGGACGTGAAGGGTCAGCGCCAGAGGTCCGCATAGCACTGCTTGCAGGAATTCTACGCGCGGTATGCTTCTGCCTCAGCTGCTCCAGTGACTTGGAGCCATGCTTCGGGCCTCAATGCGGCCGAAAGTATGGCAACTACTTCTCATGTCCTGGGCACTTCAGACTTGCACTGGCGAAATCTCAAACCTCGAGTCGAGTCGAAACCCTACAGAGCCCTTGCAGAACCCTAAAACCTAAACCTCGAACTCCTCAGCCCTAAACTACTATTTGCTTAAGAACCCCCCCAAAAAATAAAAATAATAATCCCTATATTACCCCCATAAGGAATATGTTTTTTATTTTTTGGGGGTTCTTAAGCAAATAGTAGTAAACCCTAAATCTCCAACCCCTCTAATCAGAGCACTTATAGACACTTAAAGAACTCTTCGAAGCACCACATTGTCCAAGGCCTACGGTCCGTACAGAGCCTGTTTGGGCACCGCCTTCACGAACTCAGCAGGCAAGCTGGGGCTTAGGTTTTCGGGTTTAGGGTTTAGGCTCGGGCTCATTAGGATTGGGAAACATCGGGACCTTTATCATCAGAATAGGATTCGGGGGTAATTTATGGCATACAAGTACATGAGGGAATCCTGAGGAATAGTATTTCGGTCGTCATTCCGGACCCCATATTATTCGGATATCAGCACTTCAAAGTAGGGATCCCTGTGTGAAGTACAGACCCTAGACATGTGCTAAACGATGGAGAGATGGGAGTCTGTGTTTGAACCTCTCAACCCCAACCCGAATGTTTGGGCCTGGAGATTGAAGCGTGCCTCTTTCCTTTGCAAAAGTTTCAATAGGGGTTCAGAATCCCTGATGCGCGATACTCTTGTCTAATTGTCGTTTGCCCGATAGGAGGACAACTGCTTCAAATTTGTGTGGTCAGCAGCACTTTGTGGATATTTACATAGTTGCTGCCCTCCGTACTACTGTATATGACCAAAGCTTCCTAGTGCCTTCGGTTGTGCTTCGTACAACGGCTGAGCATTTCCAGTAGCGCATTTACAAGCCCAACTACCCCAAAGCCCTAAACCCCCTATGCCGTGAATAGGCGTGACGGACTTCACGTGCACTACGGACACCACGGGCATCGCAGCCTCCGTGGCAGCTTGGGATGCTGGGAGAGCAGGCACGCTTCCCCGAAACAGTGAAGCCTACTATAGAGGCCTTAATAATTACCTGTACTAGTGGGGTTCCTTGTTATAGCTATTATAGTATAATGGGCCCCAAAACCCTCTAAGTATTAAGGCCCCTATAGTAAGCCTCAAGCAAAGTGATCGACATCCTTACGACCCTAAACCCTTCAACCTGCGCCCTCGAAGCTCAAGGCCCTGAACCCTAAAACTCTGAACCCCCTCCCTTAGGGTCCAAGTAGTCCTTATTTATGGTTTTCGATACCTAAAAAGGCCCTAAAGTCCCATAATAGGGAGGACTTGGACCTTCTGGGCCTTGAAAACCCTGAAGTAACCCTAAACTCCGAAAGCCCTACTTGGAGGGTCGGGGGACTTAGCAACTGGTTATTTTAGGGACTTATAAGTACCATAACCCCAATTAGGGTCCCTTTTAGGGTACTTATAAGTCTACTTACTAACTACTTACTAAGTCCCCCGATCCCTAAACCCTAAACCCCCTTTAAAGGAACCCTTAGAATCCCCTTTAAAGGAGCCCCTTAAAGCCCTAAAGCGTTACAACCCTGCAGGTCCGCCCCGGCTCTCGTCTTCGTTGATCGTGCACACTGCTACCTTCATGGCCAGCAGCTCACAGGTTCAGGTTTTAGGGATTAGGGATTAGGGTTTAAGGGTTGAGCGTTTCGGGTTTAGGATGTCGGGCATTTTGGGGTTAAGCTATCGGGTGTAAGAATTGTGATGTAGCTTATGGGTTAGGGCTTTTGGGCCTGGAGCCGCATCCTCATGATAGCAGGCTTGGACATACAGTTGGCTCTTTCTTGATTCGACAAGTCACCCAAACTTGATTAACTGTTGTTGTGTCGCTGCCAGTTGCGGTCCTTGACAATATCCAGCTCCGACACCGTCTTGCTTACCTTTCATCGTCTCATATCAGGAACCTGGCTTGATCCCGGGCAGGTTGCAGCCTTCAGAAACCCAAAATCCCAACCCAAAGTCATAAACCATTACTCTCTGATCCTAACCGTCACAACCCCGGTTTCCAGAAGCCACGGTGGCTTGCTAGTGGCAGCCTCGCCAGGTTGCCGGAAGTGCAGGACTCATGATTACAAAGTGTAGGGTTACCTGGACCCCAAAAGTATGTAGAATAATAGCCTTTTATAGGTGTTGGTTCATTATTTTACTTCCTTTTGGGGGCCTAGGTAAGGCTTTATATGTACTAAACTGTGCCCCAAGGCCCCGTGCTTAAATTTGCTGATGTGCTTTTTGGGGCCCCTATTCTATGTTGTCAGGCGCCTACATATTATCCTGAGCCCAGCGAGGTTGATGTCAACATGCACTCGCCGAACCAGGTCGAGGCCAGATCCAATGAAGGGCTTTGAGTTTTGGGGGGCTTAGTGTAGGGGCCTGCATGATTGGATGTGGCACTCTCTTATAGTCCCTACATTCCTGTGGTCTAATTTGTCCCAAACCCCTGTTCTCATGAATACGGCCACTGTTTCAGGCGTTTCGGGGCTTTGGTTTAGGGCCCAGTCTTGGGCATCAGGGGTGTGGGCGTGCAGAGATCAGGCCTTTTCAGTGTCCACGGTTTGGGATTTCAGGGTTAACTGCGCGTGGATGCGGCCTGGACATCCGGAGAAGAATGTGGCCGACTGCAGCGTCTGAAGAGAAGTTCCCCACTGCCTCCGGGCTTTGTGCGTGTAGGATATAGGGGTTCGAATATAGTGTATAGCGTTGAACTTCGAGGATGTCGGTTCAGGATTTGTCGGGTTGTTTCTAGGGGTTCTTGAGCTTTCGAGGTTCTACCTCAGGTCTGCGGCGAATTAAATGACAGAAGCCCAACTGCCCAGGCCGCATTCAACATGAGCACGATGCTCTTCATCATTCTTATCATGGCCCGAGCCTTGGATTCGGGATCTCAAGTTGGGCCTAGGGTTTGGGTTTAGGGGGTTTAGGGTTTAGGGTTTGGCCTTGGATGCGGTGTTGAGGGTTGGGGTTTTGGGGTTAGGGGTCCTTTAAGGGATCTATAAGGCTTACTATAAGGGTACTGTTGAGGGCTTAGGGTTTAGGGCTTGGGGATAAGTAACCTACTTCTTAGAAAGGCATCGTATTTTGGTAGTGTCTGGTTTAGCGTAGGGCCGCTGTTATCCTTTCTTGCAGAGTTAGGACCCGGTGCTATGATTTACGGCTCTGTAATAAGATTGTATCGCATTGTATCCCCCAACCCTATGCTCTGTAGTGTGGCCCATGTATGTCTCAACCCAAAATTGTAGAGGCCTTATAGAAACCCTCATAGACCCTCTAAAGGAAGACGACTCAATGACTCATTATTGAAGCCCCTATACCCAAAGAAGCCCAAACCCGAAGACGAATCTCAAACTCCGCAACATAGCTGTGCTCAAACCCGAACCCTTACCCCCGCCTCTCCCCCCCAAACCCTAAACCCAAAGCCCTGAAACCCTAACCCCTCAGCCCTAAACCCTAAACCCAAAGCCCTAAACCATAAACCCTTTAAGCCCTAAGCCCTGAACCCCCGACCCTAAGCCCTAAGGCATAAACCCTTAAGCCCTGAGTCCCTAAACCCCAAACTCAAACCAATGCCCAGGTTTTCTGCGGTTTGGCTTTGTCCAGCGTGGTGACGGACCTGGCTGCAAGGGCCCTGGGCCTTCGACGTGAATGATCAAACAACTTTGTGAGTACTTACTTGGAGGGTCGGGGGACTTAGTAAGTAGTTAGTAAGTAGACTTATAAGTACCCTACAAAGGACCTTCATCGGGGTTATGGTACTTATAAGTCCCTAACATAACCAGTTACTAAGTCCCCCGACCCTCCAAGTGAATGTTCATGGGTAGTTATAAGTGGGCTATAAGTAGGGCCAGTAGGGTAACCAGAACTATAACCCATAATTGGGGACCTCTAGCTCCACTTATACCTATCCATGAACCCAATGAACCTCCAAGTAGCTTGTTAGTCTTACCAATCTTCTTATTACGGCTACCTCTGCTAGTACAAGTCGTACTGCTACGACTACGACGACGACTACTACTACCCCTGCTGCTGCTAGTTACTACTACAACTACAACTACTACTGCGGCTACTTCTGCTGCTTCTGCTGCTGCTTCGGCTGCTTCTACAACTACGATGAGGACTACTAACTACTGCCATGCTTACCATTTCAGCCATTTTCATCAATGTCATCATTATTTCTGAACTTTATCCTATGTTGACCGGCACCCTTGTTACCATGGTCAGCATTATCATCATACTTGACACTGTTGCTGCTGGTATCATTAGCAGATTTACACAAACGATTAGTTCTATGGTTGTTCAAGCTGAGAGCAGCAATGCACTATTGATGGCAATGTGAAGCATTCGTGGAACTGGCAAGCATGAGAAAGTCTTGCTGCGTTTCGAGCTTGCGTTTGCGGTCTGCAGCGGTTCGCTTAGGAGGGCTGACTATCGACATGCTGTTATAGTTATAATTAATGCAGGAAGTCTTGAATCTATATGTTACCCCGTACTTACAAGAAGGGTTCTGCTGTTGTTCGGCCGACATGCCAAACACTGCCGGAGATGCAAGAAGATTGGATGGCCGATGTTTGGCTGCCTGAGATGGAAGAACATTCTTATATCTCGGGGTGCCAACCCCAAACTGCGGCCACAGCAGTATCGTGTGTGGAGTGGAAACGGCAAAGTGGTAAATTAGTATTAGGCCGACATGCAGGGGTGGCTGCCCGAGATGCAGACTTTTTGTTTGCATCTCGGGCAACGCCACATGTCCGCGTCACTTGGCATGTCAGCAGAACACATGAAAACGAGCAGGTTTTTTTGCATCTCTGGCAACCCTCGTGCATCTCGGGCGGCCGACCCTGCATGTCCGCCCTAATGAGACCCCAAACCCTACGGCCCATAAACCCTGAACCCGACTGTAAGCCCTGTACCCTTAACTCTAATCCCTGAGCCCTAAACCTTCAAGGGTTTGGAGGTTTAGAGTTCGAGCCCTCAGTAGAACCCAAGCAGCAGTCTTATAAGCATCGTGATGAGAAGCCGAAGCCCTAAATTCCAAGTTTTCGAGCCGTCAGTAGTACCCTCAAACCTAAACCCCAACCCTGAACCCGTAAATCCCTAAAACCCCGAACCCCTAAATCCCCAACATTCCTAAAACCCTAAACCCCTAAAGCCCGAAGCCCTAAACCTCTAAACCCGAAAACCCTAAACCCTAAAACCTTAAAAGCCTCGCGATCGAAGGTGCGTCCGTTGGAGCGGATGTTGGGCACCGTGCGAAAGATTGCGTCCACGGTGTTCAAGTTCAGCGCCGAGGTGGTTGTGGGGTTTAGCGTTTTGGGGTTGGGGCTTAGGGGTTCGGGGTTTTGGGGTTTAGGGGTTCGGGGTTTAAGGTGGTTGTGGGGTTTGATCATGGGGTTTAGAGTCAACAGTGTGGTTTACGGTTTAGGGGTCCAGATGATGGTTTGCCGGTGTCTGTTGGGGTTCAGGGTTTCATTCCCTTTGGGGTCCTCACCGGAGCGTGGTCCTACCGTTTTTGTTTTTTTGTATATGTAGAAGTAGATGTGTGTGTACATACATCTACAACACAGAAATATAAATAAATAAATAAATAAATAAATATATATATATATATATATGTATATATATATATATATGTATGTATGTATGTATGTATGTATGTATGTATGCATGTATGTATATATGCATATGCACGTGCGTGTGTCGGGCACTGCGTACTTGTAGGGCCCTGTAGGTTGAGGACCAGGGTTGCCCATCTTTCTCAAGTCTGCGGGCTCGGTTGCGTTTCGGGTTAGACAGCTCCTTTGCAGGTTTATGGTTCGGGGCTTTAGCCTCTGAAGGCTAGTGGCATGGTAGTCGGGAGCACCCTAGTCCAGCATATGTCCTGCGCTTATAACTGTGTATGGTAGATTTCCGTGTTTAGGTCCTTTCAGAAGGGCGCGTCGCACTTACAACATGTGCGCGAAATTGATGCAGAGAGCCGTGTGGGGCTTCAAGTTCTCAGTTGACCGGCTGAGAGCTCGGATGGTTCAAGGCTGACGGTATACGACCCGTGGTTTGGGCTTAGGTTTCAGGCAACCTTGGGGTTGAGGCTAAGATTTCGGACTTTGGTTGCAACAGTTGTGGGCAGTGATATTTCCAAGCATGGACGCGTTGCCTTTGTCGTGTAGTGAGATCCTGCCATCAGGCTCTCAGTCCTGCAGTGTTTATAGATCCGGTGAGGGGCTCGTGATTTTCCCGCATTTTCATATTCATACATGTGTATATATATATATATATATATATATGCACGCGAATCGAATGGACATGCGGCAGCAGATTGCAAAGAACTGCATCACGATTTCTGTTCTTGATGTTCGTAGCTTTGAACGAACCCCAAACCCACAACACTTCATATGCCCTAAACCGGAGACCCAAAACATGAATTACATAGCTTCAGCCTGCCCAACCTGACGGAAGCCACCGAGCAGGTGACGGCAGAAACGAACGACGAAGAGGCACTCGGGGGATGCAGCCTAGATCTCGGCACCCCCGGTTTAGTTTAGCGTTTCTGCATAAAGCCAAAGAAGGCTTGTTGGAGTATCAGCATTTCCATACCCGGAATGGCATCAGAACCACCAGTGTAAAGGACTAAAAATGATGCTACGCGTCTTGTCCAGGCTGGTAAGACGTGTCAGTTACTTACGGCACCTAGCAGATAGGATATGAACAGAAACACTTGCAAGTAGCTGGCTTGACATTGTGCTTGGCAGGCTCAGTAGCCCACAGGCTTTTTCTGGACTCTCCATGGCAGAGACGGAAACAAAGCTCATCAACCAACAGGACCAACATGCTCAAGAACTTGCTTCCCCTCAAACCCCAAACCTAAATCTTAAGCACGCAACTAAGCCCGCCCCCCTCCCCGATACTCAGAAGGAGCCCAAGCAAGCACTTTCAGGCATCCTATAAGACCGTACAAGAATCCCCACAACCCTTTGCAACATTCTTAAACACGCTATAAGAGTACCAGCAAGCCCATAAACATCCTGAAGCTTGAGCCAAAGCCCCAAGCCTTAAGCGCTAAACCCTCAAGACCCCATATATAAAATTGAGGTCCCCTGCTATAAGATTCTGTCAAGTGGGGCATCCGACAGGTGACAGACATCGACAGCTCCAATGAGATGAAGCTCTTAGAAAAGGCCCGCGGGGGATGACGGATGGAGTTTAGAGTTTAGGATTTAGGGGCTTTCACCCTGAGCCCTAAACCTCCATTTTGTGGTGGGGTCTAGGGCTGGATTTCTTGGGGGGAGTTCCGGCTTGGAGTTTGGAGATTACTTAAGTACCCAGAGACTGTCATAATGCCTTAAGGAATATGCCTTGAACTATAGTAGGATAGGATCCCTAATATGATTTCAGGTCTATTCCTTAATTAAGGGTGAGTCTGTGGGTATTTGCCTCTTCCAACGAGCTACTTTGGACAAGCAGTGCTTGTTTTGGAGCGTGTGCTTTCCGCCTTTTTCGGGAGTTCAAAAACAAGGCTTCTAGCGTGGATTTTCGTGCCTGTACGGGCTAAGAGGATTTTTGTTATTATACGGGCCCAAATAATTACCAATACTATTTTTGGGGGGCTCCTTGTCATAATTAAATAGTATAATAAACTCCCCAAACCCTATTCTAATTGCTAAGGCCCCTGCATCTCCCGCTTCTTGGGGGGATAAGCGTTGAGGAGTGGAGGCTTTATAGTTTCGGTCTCGGACTCTGCAACTAAAAGTGTACACTCCCTAAACCCTAAACCCCTAAACCCTAAACCGGAGTTCATAAGCAACTAAGATTACTTGGGGGGTCGGGGGACTTAGTAAGTAGTTAGTAAGTAGACTTATAAGTACCCTAAAAGGGACCCTAACTGGGGTTATGGTACTTATAAGTCCCTAAAATAGCTAGTTACTAAGTCCCCCGACCCTCCAAGCAGGGACCCTCCATTTTCGGAAGCCCCCATATAGGAGTTTCAGGCCTTCAGGTTCCCGAGCTTCACTCCTTTAAAGGGATCTCTTAAGGGATCTATAGGGGCTCCTTTAAAGGTGTCTATAGGGGTTCTTTAAGGGTTTAGGGTTTAGGGTTTCTGGAGTTCCTTTAAAGGCTCTGATGCTACGCGGCGCATCAGACAACATGAAGAAGCCTACTCTGAATGCCCAAATCTCAGCCCCAAACCCCAAACCCTAAACCGACCCTACACCCCAACCCCTACTGTTGATGATAAAAATCCTGCATAACTTTAAGGACCCTAAACTATGGGAATTATGGGATATTCTTATTATGGGTAATGCAGGATTTGTATAATCAACCGTAGCACCGAGGAACCTGGAGCACCAAATCTTGAGATTTTTGAGGATCCGAAACTCTGGCTTCTTGGCCCCAGTCCCATCCTAAAGCTGTGGTGAGGGTGGAGACATGGTGCCGTGCTTCGGAGCCTCAACCCAGAACGCTAAACCCTGTAAGCCCCAAAGCCCGAAACTCTTCATGACATGGGGAGGTCGTCCAAAAGCTGGCCATCATTGCCGACCTGCAGACATCCAGAAATGTGCCAGACAAGACAGAGGACCCTTTTGGGCTCCGTGCTTAAAATTGATTCCTGATTAACACACCCTGGGTCTCTATTATTCCGGTTCTTTCCATGAATCCTTCTATCTTGGGGTGACAGGGCCGTGTTCCGGTTCTTTTCATGAATCCTGCTATTTTGGGCTGATACGATCGATGCTAAAAACCCTGCATCACCTTAAGGACCGTAAAATATGGGAATTATGGTATATTCCTTATTATGGGTCATGCAGGATTTCTATCATCAACCGTAGGGCCAGGGTTTTGTTTATCAGGTCCCTACGTCTCCCTGCGCCCCCGAATCGAGGTGGCGCCTTTGAGTCGTCCCTTTGGTCCTCAACCTGCACGTCCTGAATCCTGAAGCTCCAAACCCCTAGAGCCCTGAATGCCACGCCCTAAACCCAGCTTAAAGCCTGAACTTGAAACTGTAAACGGTAATCTGGGGTTTTCACCGGGTTCGTGCAGACTTATGGTTCTGGCTGCAGTCTTCGGCATTGACAGAGACTCTGAGACTGGACCGAGGCTTGTCATACAGACCCTTTCATTAGAGACTAGGGTCTCGCGGCTGTGCAATTGGGGCATCTTCTCTACACTTCTTTACCTGCACGCCACGCCCTCAGCCTTGATCCCCTTACATCCTGAGCTCTAAATCATAACCAGGACATGAGGGATGAAGACCTTGGCATCCTGTCGATGATGCACGGTGCCAACATTGCTGAAAAGAAGGCCGTCGAGGGTTCGTGGTTTAGTGCTTTAGGGTATCGTTGGGCTTGGGATCTTGGGGTTTGGGCTTTGAGGGCTTCGCGGCATCTTTCCTGTTCTCGAGGTTAAGGGTCCGGGGGGTTCGGAAAGTATGGCAGAACTTCATGAGAGATTTTGATTTGCAGGTAGAATGGACGCCCTTTTTCGCATGTATCAGAGGGTTGAGTAAAGCCTCTGGGCGTCTTGGGGCAAGAGTGTGGTTTGCTGACGGCCCTTTCCGTGGTAAGAGCTCTATTACTTGCATGGAGTTTGTGTCTATACGGGCCCCTCAGTTTCTGAGGCTCCCATACAAGATTCCCGTGAACTGCGCACCTTCCCGAGCTTTTCTTTGCGATAATTAACTCTAGGCCCTGGGCCAACGGTCAGCCTATGCTTCTGATGCGTTAGACTTTCGTTTAGGTTCGAGGTTACAACTGCGCGTCGATGAGTGGTAAGCCCTCAGCCCTAAGCCCTGTAGGTGCCGGATCTGGCATCTCCAGGAACGTAGGTTTTGGGGCGTTTGAAAGCGGCCAGCCACATTTGCTGCTCTGAACCAGGTGTTTTGTTTAAGTACTAAGTAGGCCCTTGCCATTTTTCATGTTTTAAACTTACAACATGGAAGAGAGTTTTCATTTACGCAAGTTCTCGGAGGATTTCAAGGGCTATCATGATCCCAGTCTTGGAAGGCACAGCTTTCAATCAAGCCAATGGCAACATCAACCGACACCAGCACCAAATCCCAGCTCTCGCCGCCAGGGGAGAACCACAAGGAGGATATCGGGATCGGCCGGCACCACAGGCCAGAGGAAGAAGGCACCTTGACTCTGCAGTATGGTGTCCGTTGCGGGGCAGTAGTTCGAATGCAACACACCAGGAGGATGCAAAGTAAGGTAACTGTAGCTCTAAGTACATAGTTCCGAAACAAAATATGGTGCTTCTTGCCCTACATGTAACTGCCGATGAGCCCTCCACTCGGGCATTGCCATTCAGGTTGTCATTCGGGGGCTTGCCCGTATTTGAACAACATGTGCTCGTGTTTCCTTAGAGTCCTTAGATGGCCAGTGCTACGGTTGATGACACAAATCCTGCATTACCTTAGTGACCCTAGAATGTGAGAGTTATGGCATATTCTTTCGTGTGGGTAATGCAGGATCTATATCATCAACCGTACGTGTGCTGGAAATCCTAGGCCTGTAGTAGACTTGATGTCGGGTCTTTGTGCTTAGGAGGGACTGTGTCCGCGGGGTACAACAGGGGCCAAAATAATTGCCAAGACTGTTTTTGTTTGGGGGGGTTCCTCATTATATGTTTAGGATTATGGGCCCAAACCCCGATTCTAATTTTTACGGCCCCTATATCATAGTACCCTTATAGATCCCTTATAGATCCCCTTATAAGGATCCGTTTAAAGGAACCCTAGTCTAATTATGAAGGCCCCTCGAGTACAAGCCTTGGAGCTGACAAATCTGGAAAGAGCCTCCGGAGCCGAAGTTCCTTTTGCCGGGGTCTCGTTTAGGGTTTAGGGTTAAGTTTAAGGAGGGCTCAGAAGATCCGTCATAGGGACGGATTTGCTAGCAGCCCCAGTGCAAAAGCACGCTTTTTTCCTCCGCAACGGAGGCAAAAGGTTTAAGGGTCCTCAAATGGCTCTAGTAGTTTTCAACTGTTTTTTTCAATCGTGCCCTTTGTGACTCCCTCCTTCTCAGCGCCTGCGCCTACTGAGGCAATCGGGATGCCTTCCGTGCGCTTGGAGGACTTCGGAGTTTCCCAGGAGGCGCGACGAGGTTGTAGATATAGGCAGAATGAATAAACACATAGATAAGTCAATAAGTACATAAGTATATATACATATTACATACACTATACATATGTGCACACCCCTATACCTCTACATTTATCTCTATCTCTATAACTATCTCTGTCTTTTCCTCTACATCCTCTACCTTACCTCTATCTCCGTCTCCATCTCTATCTCTTTCTAGATCTGTATGTGTGCGTATATATATATATATATATATATGTATGTGTGCATAAATCTTCGTATCTATATATATATGTATATACCTAGGTATCTAGAAATCTATATAGCGATATATCCAGATCTGTATATCTCTTTTGGGTTTTCAAGAATTCAGCATGCTCAGGAATCAAGACAAGATTACTCTGGGTCTCTGCGGCGTTTAGACTTCTGGGGCCGGTGTAGGATTGCGGGACATCGGGGGATGGGGGTTTCGGTGCATCATTCGTCATCCGTGCACAGATTGAAGTCATTAGTATTGTCGTCTTTGTGCTGGAGCATTGCGCAGTCATCTGCCTCATCCTTCTTGTCGTCGCCCTTATTTCCCTCGGCTTTGTCCTCGTCATCCTCAGCTTCATGTCCTTGGCATCACAAGAAGGCACAGCAATCAAACTGGGTAGTTGACGAAATCATGGCCCCTTCTTTGGGTAATTACCCTAAATATTGGGTGCCGTTTTATAACAAGCACCCAAACAGGGACCATAATTTTGACAAACCACCCAACTCGTTGCACGCATCCTTTCACCAGGGTGGGCTGGCGGCAACAGAACCCCGAATGAAATAGAAACCCCAAGGTTCCTAGGTGGCGTTTTGGGGGATACTTCCCCCAAATCATAATAGTAATTCCTAATATGGAAACCCTACATTCTACTATATAGGTACTTTGGACCCTTTGGGAAACCGGTTAGAAAGCTTGTTGTACTCTTGAGACGTTAGAATCTGCTTCATCCGCCGCAGGCCTCGGCATAAGATTTCTGGGCTCTGAGTCATTGAGATGCGGGGATTTAGTGCCTAACCTTGAGCCATCAGCCTTACAGTCCTAAACATATGTATGCCCGAAGCCGAATAGAACCCTAAGCCACGTGTCCCTTGCCTCGACACCCGCCGCGGTTCACCTGGTGCTGCAGGTGTTTGCGTCATGGAACTTCAATGCCCTGAGTCTTTCGAAGCTTCACGGTTGCAGTTGCGTTTGGCTTAGGGTTTAGGGATGAGGGGTTTAGAGGTTTATTGTTTAGGGGTTCAGGAATATCTTGTTCAGCTTAGGAAGTTTACAGTAAGGTGTAGAATTCTCTACAAGTTTAGCATGAAGGACCCCGATTGATCTCCTAAATCAGTGGGTCGAAAGGTGGGACCCCTCGACACCAAGCCCTGCAGGCATTGCAGATTGGCTGCTGCTAGAGAATCTCAAGTCTTCGCGGAGCTTTTTACGATTGACGCCCTTAACCCTAAACCCTCGCTGCGGCAGGATTTGCTGTTGTTGTCCGCGCTTGAGCTTTTGTGTTTTGATGGCGGGGAGCCAGGCTCAATCTGTGGAGACCAGAACTATCCTGTATGCCGTCCCCGAAACCCCAACCCCTATCGTAAACACCTCTGGACTCGAAACCAACAAACCCCAACCAATTCTGAAGTCTGAGTCCTGAACGCCCAAAACCCCTAAACCCTAAACCCCTAAACCCCTAAACCCCTAAACCCCTAAACCCTAAACCCTAAACCCCAACCCCAAGAGCGCCGAGGAACCAGCGGGTGAACTTGGCAGTGTACACTGTCTCCAAGTTCCACGACGATGGAGATGGCTTCGTGAATACTGGAGACGAGGATGGGTCTGGGCTCAGGGTTTAGGGACATGAGGGCCCTTGAAGATCTTAAAGGGGGCCTTTATCGGAGTCCTTAAAGGATTTAGGGTTTGGGGCTTAAGGTTTGGGGTTTAGTTTTTAGGGCTTTGGGTTTGGGGCTTAGGGCTTGTTGCTTAGGGGTTTGTGGAGAGTTATATACTTTAATTTAGAGTCCCTGTTTAGGCTCCCAAAATGGTACGGCACCGGTTCCCTACCTTGTGGAACTACCCTTGTGGGGTTACTCCACATTTATTCGGTTGCTATAGAAGGCCGCTGGTGGATTCTATGCCAAGGGCTTCGAGTTTAGGGTTTATGGCGTAGGGTTTGTAGGGTGTAGGTAAGGGCTTTGGGTTTGAGGCTGTTAGTGCAGACGACCCTTCGTCTTGCCCAAACCGGTTACTTTCCTGCACTTTAAAACCAAACCACCAGCACACCCTACACCCGTAGATCTGGAACTAGCATTAGCACTAGTAAAACTAGTCCGAGTACTTGTAAGTCACTAGTACTAGTCTAATCACTAATTGGTGGTGGTCGTAGTAGTAGTCGTGAGTAGTAGTAGCAGTAGTAGTAGCAGTAGTAGTAGTAGTAGTAGTAGTAGTCGTCGTCGTAGTCGAGGTCGTAGTAGTCGTCGTCGTAGCAGTAGTAGCAGCAGCAGCAGTAGTAGTAGTAGCCGTCGTCGCAGTACCACCACCACCACCACCACCACCACCACCACCACCACCACCACCACCACCACCACCACCACCACCACCACTACGACTACTACTACTACTACTACTACTACTACTACTACTACTACTACTACTAGTACTACTACTACTACTACTACTACTACTACTACTACTACTACTGCTACTACTTCTGCTACTACTTCTGCTACTACTACTCCTCCTACTACTACTCCTACTCCTACTCCTACTACTACTACTACTACTACTACTACTACTACTACTACTACTACTACTACTACTACTACTACTACTACTACTACTACTACTACTACTGCTACTACTTCTGCTGCTATTTCTGCTACTACTACTACTCCTCCTACTACTACTCCTACTCCTACTCCTACTCCTACTACTACTACTACTACTACTACTACTACTACTACTACTACTACTACTACCACGACTACTACTACTACTACTACTACTACTACTACTACTACTACTACTACTACTACTTCGAGTACTACTCCTACTACTACTACTTCTACTACTTCTACTACCTCTACTACTTCTACTACTTCTACTACTCCTACTACTTCCCACTACTTCCTATTGCTTCCTACTACTTCAACTATTTCTTCGACTAGGACTGCTGGCACTACGGCAGCTACTGGTGCTAAGTGTCAGAATCAGTACTATCTAACTTTGCTTTTTTTTGGTGAGTTCGTACTCAGAGCCGCTCTGGAAGTGTCTGGACCTTGTCCTGTCAGGTCGGCATGTTTCAGAGATTTGCCACTGCCGTGGAAAAGGAGTACTTGCGGCACCCTGAGCTTTGCTGCCCACATGGGAGTTTCCGAAAATAGGGGACCCTAATATAGTACCCTAATTTAGTAGGGTCCTTATCATAAGGGCCCCCAAAGAAGGTATCCCCCAAATTTCGGAAACTCCCGAATTGGTTGGAGGCTTGAAATGCTAATTTGAGAGATTTCGACGGCCTGTGCACCAACCATGTTCCGATCACCCCGACACCTCAAGCTCATTGCCCTTTCTCCTTCGTGCCCACTAAACGGGCTGTTGTTTGAACGTTGCGTACTTGACTGAGGCCGGTACCTTTCCACAGCTTCGCACATGCCGTGGATGTCTTGCACGGAGTGCCGCATGCTCGGATGGCATCCTCAACCCTGGCTTACCCAGAGAACCCAATACCCCTTAATTAGGGAATATACCTTAAGTTATAAAGGCCTTAATATTATGATTTAAGGTATATTCCTTAATTAAGGGGTATGGGGATCTCTGGGTAGGTTCAGGCTTAGGGTTTCGAGTTTGAACCTGTGCAGTAGAACCCGCACCGAAGTTCCTTGCACCTTGAAGCCCTAAACCCCAAAAGCGAACCCTGAAACCCTGAAGCTACACCCTAAAAGTCTGGGTTTAGGGGTTCGGGTTTAGCATTTAGGGTTTGTGGTTTCGGATTTAAATTTAGGCTTCTACATCAAACCCTAGAACAACTCCGATTCGAAGCCCTAAACCCTAAACCCTAAACCGCACTAAGGCCGCTAGACTTCCCTACATCCTCAACCCTCGCCTCCAAGTTCTATGCCCTACATCCTAAACCCTCGCCTGGGCCCTGGGTCCACCCTGAGCCCCTTAACCCTGTCGCCCCAAACTCCAGCATCCCTAAACCCCTGAGCCCCTGAACCCCGAAACCCCTAAACCCCTAATCCCTTCCAGGACTCTTAGAAGGAGCCCTGAAAGAAACGTTTCAAGATCCTGAGTATTCGAAGCCATCCAAGTCTCCTGCCCACCTAAAGGATCCCTTCAAGGAAGCCTGGAAGAGCCCAAAGAAGCCTAAACCGTTTCAGGCTCTTCAAGGATCCTCAACCCTACACCCGGAAAGACCTTAAACGCCCTAAACACCCTAAGCCCTAGACCTAACAAGATCCTACCCTAAACCCGAAAAGATCCTAAAACCCGTGAACCCCAGAAGCCCTGAAACCTGACACTACTCCTAAAAGATCCCAAGCCCTAAACCCTAAACCAAATATCCTAAACCCTAAACCCTACAAGACCCTAAAACGATCCTAATACCCCTAGGCCCAAATTCCTAAACCCTTAACCTGAAATCCGAACTTCCTGAACCCTAAACGCTAAACTTGAAATCCTAAGTTCCTAAATTCCTAAACCGTAACCCCAAAAGATCCCAAGCCCTAATCCCTAAACCCTAAACCGTTACCATAAACCCTAAACCCTAAACCCTAACCTAAAAGATCCCAAGCCCTAATCCCTAAACCCTAAGCCCTAATCATAAACCCTAAACCCTAAACCCTAAACCCTAAACCCTATAGACCCTAAACCTTAACCCTAAAAGATCCCGAGCCCTCTCAGGTGCTATAAACCCTAGAAGATCCCCGAAGCTCTAGGGGTTTAGGTTTTAGGGTTTAGGAAGATCCCAAGCCCTCTCAGGTCGCGGGTTCTCCGGAGCATCTCTTCCGGGAGCTACCTCTCGGAGCTCGAAGAGTCGGGGCACCCGAAAACCGGGGGGGGGGGGGGGGTCCTTTCTTTGGGGGCTCTTTGAGGGTTCTATAAGTGTTCGGTGGTTCTCTTGAGGATTCTATAATTATGATTTTTTTTTTTTGGGGGGGGGGGTTGGGGTGTAGGCTTGGGGTTTCAGGTTTTAGGGTTTAGGCTCTGGGGCTTTGGGTTTTGGTGTTCTTTTGAGGGTTCTATACCTTCTTGGTGGTTGTTTTGAGGTTTCAATCGTTTGGAGCTCTTTTGAGGGCTCTATAATTTCTCTATTTACAGGGTTCCTTGAAAGGGAACTCTGGAGAATTACGGTGTTTTTTGAGGCTTAAAGGATGTTATAGACTTTTCAAACTCTCGACGGCTTCTTGAAAAGTTCGATCAGGGCTCCGGAAGGGTAGCGGGGAGGGTTAGGGTTTCGGGATTGCGCGGTTTCGGGTTTCGGCTTGGGAGTAAGTAGACTTATAATTACCCTACCAGGGACCCTAATCGGGGTTAAGGTACTTATAAGTCCCTAAAATCACCAGTTACTAAGTCCCCCGACCCTCCAGAGGGTTTATGGGTTTAAGGTTAGGGGTGTCATCTCGGGGTTCAGGGGCTGGTTCTCTTTAAAAGGGGGTGGCTTTGGGTGTGGGATTGTTGTTGTGTGTTTTCAGGCTTCAGCTCTTCCGGGTTTAGGGTTTTGGTGGTTTGGGTTTTGGGGTTTAGGGTTTAGGGTTTAGGGTTTAGGGTTTAGGGTTTAGGGTTTTGGGTTTAGGGTTTAGGGTTTAGGGTTTAGGGTTTAGGGTTTAGGGTTTAGGGTTTAGGGTTGATAGGGTTTACGGTTTAGGGTTTAGGGACGTTGGGCGCACCGTAAGTAAGTAAGGTTATAAGTAGGCTATAATTCGGATAACCCCACTTAGAGGACTTATAACCCCAGTTATAATCTACTTACTAAGTCCCATGATCCTTCAAGTAGGCTTTGTAAGAGAGGGAGCCGCCTAATAAAGTTTTAGGGTTCGCCTATGCGTGTTTGTGTGTGTGTGTGCGTGTGTTTGTTGAAAGAGTTGTGGCCATCGATTTTCGTTACAGCTACGCGCAGCCCAAACCTTGGAACCCTAAACCGTGTCCCTCCCCAGGTGTTTAGTCCCACAAATCGCTTGAACTGAGCGTCGACGTCACAGGTTTTCGCTTCTTATTGCTGCCATTGGCCACGACATCGGCCATCCAGGTGTGAACAACGGCGGCTCGGCACAAGCCCTACAATGGCCCTACAAACCCCCCTGAAATGAACCGTGCCAAAGTAATAGTGTACCTTAAACCATAAACATCCCTAAACTGAAACCGTTGCGATGGTGTTTGTGTCGCCCGACGTTCTTGTGACCCTGTATTCTGTCGAAGTTCAAGGCAGGTTTAGGGCTGAAGCTCGGGACTTGCATGTCATGTAGGCTTCAATAGTTTCGATTATGTAAGAGTATAAGAGTACTATACATAGTAACATTGACATCCGCATTGCTATTGCTGTTATAGTTGTCATTCTTGTACAAATGTTTGCACTTATAGTAAGACTGTTGATTCTCAGTGTTATTGGCAACAAGATTACAATCTAGGGTTGAGGGTCTAGGTCCTTGGTTCTAGTCGGAACTCCATGCAGCAGGACATAAATCCTTGGAGCCCCTTCATCCCTGGTCTTTGGGCCTAGGGTTTAGGGTTAAGTAGCTGCTGTAGTCCCAAAACCCTAAAAGCCCCCAAAACCGTCGAAATCTAGCACCCCGCAACCCTCAAACCCTAAACCCCAAACACCAGGATCCTAAACCGCAAGGTTCTTAATTTCTGACCTAAACCCTAAATCTTTGAAGCCTCCTGAGCCCTCAAGGTCCTGATCTCTCAGGCTCCCCGAATCCGAAACCCTAAACCCCAAGCCCCCCAGAGATTCCAATACTGTTCCCCCTTACTTTAAAGATAGACCTTAAATCTTAATAGTAAGGCCTCTATAGTTTATGGTATATTCCTTAATTAAGGGGTATCAGAATTCCCTATATAGATCTGTAGGTCCCTTAAAGGATCCCTTTAAAGGAGCCCTGGGATATTCCTTAATTAAGGGGCCCCTTGGGTTCCCTCTTAGGCTTTCTCTCGGAAGTTGGCCATGAGCTGGCGATGCAGTACAACGACCGCTCTCCTCTCGAGAACATGCCGGGGGCCTTACTGTAGTGTAGCAGTTTTATATGGGGCTTTGTAGGATTTTAGGGCGGGGGTTCCTCTTAGGGTTTTATCGGGCTTACAGGCTTTCATGAGGGCAACGTGCAGGGCCTCGGCTTTCCTTTTTATGGCCACTGAAGGGTTGCTATATGCAGTACCATGACGGCTGAGTGGCGATGCTGGGCTGTACTTGGGGGGTCGGGGGACTTAGTGAGTAGTTAGTAAGTAGACTTATAAGTACCCTAAAAGGGACCCTAATTGGGGTTATGGTACTTATAAGTCCCTAAAGTAACCAGTTACTAAGTCCCCCGACCCTCCAAGTAGGGGTTGACGGTTGAGGGTTCAGGCGCTCAAGGCCTCGATAGGCAGAATCCAGCAATCGGTTTGAGGCTTTCCGATTTTAGTTTTGCGGCAGCTTTTTTCTGTATTTTGGGGTTTAGGGTTTAGGGTTTAGGGAACAAGCAAGATTTGTATGTGTAGGAGGGTTTCAGCGACCATCCGAGGCACTGTGCCAAGCTGTACACGATCACAGGCAAGCCCGAGACAAACGACGGGGGCCCAGCTGGGTTTCCACTTGGTGTAGATGCTAAGCCTAAGCCTTCAGTCTTCCTTCATCCCTAAAGCGGAGGAGTTATGGTCTATGGTAAAGTTTATGGTCTGTGACCGGTTTTGGGCCGGGGCTGATAATGCCACTCGTTGTGTTAGGATCGGAGGCTCTTAGATGGTGTTAGAATGTGCCCGACGCCCAAAGGAAGATTGTTGATAGAATCCTCAACGGTTTAGGATTTTATGGTCTAGGGCCCCGAATCTTAGACCCGCGACGCCTGATCGCGTTCCGACCTCGGCAGTTTGCCTCGCACACCTAGTTCCACACACCCACACACATACATATAGACACACATCTAACATTTACATACACACACACATACACATACATACATACACACACACACACCCCTGACAGTTGAGAGTTAACGATTTGCACCAGGAAGCCTTATCAAGTGGGACGCAAGTCAGGTCTTCTACCACCTGTCCAAGGAGCAGTACAAGGAGGTTCGCAAGAACTGCAGCTTGGCAGCCTAAAAGCTCCCTGGGGCTAAAAAAATTAAGCCCCCAGACCCTACCCTAAGGCCCCAAAGCAGCTCCTTTTTCGGGGTTCATATTGAGAACCTATAATCCCTTCAAGCTCCCTTTGTCATCGTTCGGTAACATTGTAATTAGATGTTTATGGGTACTTAAACCCTATAAGGAATAAAGATGTGCATGTTTAATCCTGCCCCAACCATGAACTAGCTCCCAGGGGCTAAGCTATTAAACCCCAGACCCTAGACCTAGAACGATGTAAATTTAATCCAGAGCCCAAACCCTAAAGCCTAAACCCAGAACCCTAAACCCAGTTGCTTTGGTGATTCTCATCTCCAAGCTACTCTGGTGCCTTAGTAAGCCTTAACAACTAGTATACGGTTTTGGGGTGTATTATATCATAAGGGTCATAAGGACCCCTCTCAAGAGTCTTGGTCATTACTTGGCCCTAAGCCCTAAACCTATAAACCCTTAACCCTAAACCTAATTATTAAGGCCCTATGCTACCCCCATATTACCCGCATTGAAGGGAGCCAAGGGCATGCCGAAGCTCTTAAGCAAGCCAAACGGGAAATCATCAACCCTGACGCAAGAACCCAAGAACCGTCAACCCCAAACCTTACGTCAAATCCCAGGTATCGAGACCATCCTTCACACAGACATGATGGCCCATCAGGCTTGGGCTACAGGTTCAGATTTTTTGTTGATCCTTTGGGGGGGGGGTGGTCGAGTTCAAAGGATTGGGTGTGGGCAATAGTGCACTGTACACATAGATACATACATCCATACATCCGTACATCCATACATCTACACATCCATACATACATCCATCCATCCGTCCGTCCACCTATCCATCCACCCAGGCAGCCAGCCATCCATCCATCCATACAGACATACATACAGACGAACATCCACCCTTACTTACATATATACATACATACATATACACATACATATACACATACACATACACATACATATACATATACATATACATATACATATACATATACATATACATATACATATACATATACACAGATGTACATCTGTCCTTACATGCGTACATCTATACATCCATCCATCCTTACATACACACATACCTTACTACATACACATACATACATACAGACTTACATCAATCCACACATACAGCCATACAGACGTACATCCATCCATCCGTCCGTCCATCCATCCGTCCATCCGTCCATCCATACCTACATACATATATACATACACACTTACAACTTACAGGGTTCAGAGTAGAGGTCATCACGGCCAGATTAGGTACCTCAAGGGATCCCAGAGTTTATCTTGAACCGGAATTCACACCCCAGCTTTGCAGAAACGAAGCAAGTTTAGGGTTTAAAGATGTTAGGTTCGGGGTTTGTGCTGGTAACATCAGGCGATGGTGAAGGACCTCCAGATGCTCTTCCAGATGAACACCGAGGCACCTCTATTCTCCCAAGCCCAATCGGCGTAGGTGTTGAAGCCCTGGCAGTCGTCCCCAGCCCAAGTCCAGGAAAAGGTGGAAGATGTTTCAGCCGGCTTGAATCTCACAACAACTGGGGAGTTTGGACCGATATGGGGGCTTTCGTGTTGGCGGCTCAGGGTTGCAGCTTTCGGGCTGAAGTGCGTTTTTTTTTTATAAAAAAAATTCAGAAAGTTTGGCGTTCAGGTTTCATGTCGAGAGTCAGGCATTCGGGGCCACGACCGAGCGGGTCTATGCTACTGCGTAGAGTGGCCGGGTCTGCTAAGAACCCAGGGTCTCCAATCTCCCTTAGGCAAGGGATATACTTCAAATCATATTGGGGATCCTACTATAGTTGAAGGTATACCCCTTAATTCAAGGATATACCCCAAATCATATGAGGGATCCTACTATAACTTAAGGTATATCCGATCCTACTATAATTTAAGCTATAGCCCATAATTATGGGATATTGGAGTCTCTGACGAACCCGAGATCGCCATGCCGACAACCCCTCAAACACCCACGTGGGAGTTTCGGAAAATTCGGGGGTACCTTTAAAGGGATCTATAAGGGTCCCCTTAAGGGCTCTATAAGGGTTTAGAGTTTCCGAAAAGAGGGGACCCTAAAATTGAAAATTAGGGGTATCTTTAAAAAGAGCCATAAGGGCACCTTTACAGGGATCTATAAGGGTTCCTATAAGGGCTCTATAAGGGTTTAGAGTTTCCGAAAAGAGGGGACCCTAACAATGAAAATTAGGGGTATCTTTAAAAAGAGCCATAAGGGTTCCTTTAAAGGGATCTATAAGGGTTCCTATAAGGGCTCTATAAGGGTTTAGAGTTTCCGAAAAGAGGGGACCGTAAAATTGAAAATTAGGGGTATCTTTAAAAAGAGCCATAAGGGCACCTTTACAGGGATCTATAAGGGTTCCTATAAGGGCTCTATAAGGGTTTAGAGTTTCCGAAAAGAGGGGACCCTAAAAATGAAAATTAATTAGGGGTATCTTTAAAAAGAGCCATAAGGGTTCCTTTAAAGGGATCTATAAGGGTTCCTATAAAGGGTTTATTGTGTAAGGGTTTTCCGAAAATTAGGGGTCCCCCATGTTCGGAAACACCCAAATCCCAAACGGCACGAATCTCTCGCGCCCGGGCAAGTTGAGCCCAGAAGCAGTGCAACCCCAAGCCATCAAACCCGAGTGTTACAAAGCATGGTTAGGGACCCTAAACCCCAAAACCCTAAACCCTAAACCCATGCCCTAAACCCCCAAAGGCCAGAACTTAGAGCCGAATCTGTGTCCTGTGGGTAGTTGTTCACAATTATGACCCCTTTGTGGGTACCCTAAATATTAGGTGCCGTCTTACAATAAGGACCCCCAAAAGGGACGATAATTTTGACAACCACTCCTGTAGAAATCTCAGATCTGCTAACTCGTGAACCCCAACAAACTCTATTGTGTAGACCCCTAGCTAGCTCCGAAGCCTCAAGCCCGAAGTTCAAAATTTGCACCCCAGTTCCATGTGCTGAACCCTAAACCGTGTGTTTTAAGCTTTAAACCCTACATGCTAAACTCTAAACCCCAACTGCTACGCCAGCTCCCTGCGCGACAGGTCTTCACAGCCGAGCCGGAGAGCGGCTTGCTCAGTCAGAGAGTTCAGGTGTTGGGTTTAGGTATTCCGGGTATGAGTTTGAGATTTAGTTCCGGATTACCCTAAACTCTAAACCCCAAAACCCTAAACCCCCAAACCCCAAAACCCCAAACCTCTAAACAGTTCAGGGTTTTAGGGTTTTATTCACCCTCATGGGGTCTTATCCCGTGCCTCCTAGGGTGGAGGGCCCGGTCCGGAAGCAAAACCCGAAGCCCGAAACCCCAAAACCTCAGCCCTAGCCTAAAAGCGAAGCTAGCCCCAGGACCTAGACCCTCCACCTACCCTCAATTAGATCCTAAATGCCCCTTATTTGGGACCATATACCCCTATTTGAGGGTCCTGGGAGTTAAGGTTTGGGGTTAGGGTATAGGCTTCGGCCTAGGTTCAAGAGCTCAGGGTGTGCGGCTAGGCCTTGGTGTCTTCGGGGATCGTGGGGAAGAGTTGGGAATGTGCCGTGTGCATGAAGGATTTCTGTCGATGGCAGGTTTGTGTGGAGTTTCCGATGCACACTAAAGTACATGGCTTAGGGTTTAAAGTTCGTCCTTGATTCTATGTTGCATGAACTTTTGCAGCTGCATGTGCAGTCTTATGAAAGAGTTGCAAGCACGCAAACTCCAATCGAACGACCTTGTAAGTCCCGAAGCCCTAAGAAACTCTACCCTAAACCCTAAACCCAAATGTGATGGAACGCAAACTGTCCAACTCTACTAGCAACAGTACCCTTGTAGATGTCCCCTACCACAGCCGACTGCAACTGCGACCCAACCACCTGAACACAAAAGTCACTAAAGGCCGGGCTCAGTAATTGGCAGATCTGCGAACAAGTTAAATCTTGAGCCCGCCATGTCCTCCTAAACCCCAAACACTACATGCCAACCCGTGGAGCCTTAAGTTAAGCTCAAAGCATGCTTGATACCCGCAGCTGTAAACCTCAAGCACAAAACCCTTCAACCCCCACATGAAAGGGCCAGAGAACTCCATATGTAGGAGCTACACTCTACCTATTTGCTTGGCACGTCGCGCCTTTGAGCCATCATTATAGAAAGCTTCCTGACTCCCACGTTCCCATCATCTGAGGTCTGGCAGCCCTACTCAGAACTACAATAAGCCCCAAACCCTCACAACATCCAAAACCCTAAAACCACAACGCACATACTTACCGCGAGCCAAATGCGTAGGCCCAAGCCCGAAACCCTAAACTTGGAATAACTCATGGTACCCTGATCGTGCCCATATGGGAGTTTCCGAAAATTGGGATACCTTATTTTGGGGTCCTTATAATAAGGCTCCTGCTTTTTAGGGTACTATATTAGGGTCCCCCATTTTCGGAAACTCCCATATAGAACCTTCACCCCTAAAGCCCAGACCTTAAAAGCAGCCTCACAGAGCCGCCATAGAACTCTGAAGAGGAACCGAAGCTGAGGTGATGACAAGGGGCAGATGATCATCAGCCCGGCAGAAGTGGAAATCTTCTCCGACAACGACACGAAGACCAAGGAAGGGACTGTGACGGTTATGGGATTTAGGGTTTTAGGGCTTTAGGATTTATGGGATTTTTGGGTTTAGGATTTTAGGGTTAGTTTAGGGTCTAGGGTTTAGGCCTCTATGGGTCATGGGGTTTGGGACTTTGAAAGCTTCATGTACTCGTCGTCGTAGCACCAGTTGTTCGAACCCAGTTGCACAACGGCGGACTCCCTACACCCTAAACCCTAAACCCTAAGGACTCAACGTTCAGGTCATTTGAAATCCCCGTTGGGAGCCCATGTATTGCCCCATGTGTCTTCTGCGGGAATGAACAAAACACGTTTTGGATCCTCTTGGTTGGGGCAGACCTGATATCCGCAACCTTCGCGTTTCTGACCTCTTGAAGTAGTTCCTTGTCAAGCCGGATCGCATAGCAAGCAGATGAGGCAAATGCAGGAGCCTGGAGGTAGCAAAGCCATATTGTTGAACAGCATTCACAGAAATTGGGGGGGGTCTGGTAGTATTAATTGGGGTGTAGGGTGTCACTGGTAAGGCGGAAACTATTGGCTGCTACAGTATGGATGCAGCAAGCCTCCCCGCCACCTCATCTAAGCTCCTCTTATAAAGTTACATGAACGACGAAGCTGGGCTTAGGGTTTTCGGGTTTAGGGCTTTAGGGCTTTAGGGTTTAGGGCTTAGGGCTAAAGCCTGAGACTTACACCCTGCATCCGTTTCTCCCGCCAGGTGCTGAACTGTGTTCTGCACTCTGCAGATGTGTCGAACCCCTGCAAAGGGTGGGAGGTTACCCACGTAGGGCCCTCAGACAGTCTCTGCCGTCGTTTACTTGGAGTTTAGGGTCATCCTTAACCAAAATAACCTACCCGTAGGGTTTGGGGTTTAGGGTTGTGAAGTCAGGACGTGCATTGCTGAAGGATGTTTGAACCGCTTTCTAGTTGGGCACTCAAGTTGACTCTCAAGTGCTACAGCCCCAAACTCGAGATCTCTAAGCCAGAGTGGAGGGTTCAGGGGTTTGCTTACGGCTTACAGTTTCGGTATGGGAGTTTCCGAAAATAGGGGACCCTAATATAGGACCCTAAATAGTCGGATCCTTATTATAAGGACCCCCAAATAAGGTACCCCTAATTTTTGGAAGCTCCCGTATGTTCGGCTTGAAGCTACGGCTTTTTCATCGGGCGGTTGAGAGATCAAGCTTTTCCCTACCCTCGTTGATAGATTTTGCACAGGCAGAGCTCAGCACGTGCAAGGTCTCCCAGCCAAGCCATGGACATCTGCACCAGTGTAAGAACGTAGGCCTCACGTACACAAGCCACGTTTTGTGTTGCCACAGCAGGCCCAGCGCCGGTATGACAAGTTTCGCTAACATCCATGTGACAATGTGCACTCCATCATCGCGCGATTGTTGTCAGGTTCCTTTCCGCTAGCAATTTCACTCCTATCTTTCTTGCTTTCCTGTTGTGACCACCACCATGACCTTGTTTCTGAACCCTACACCCTAAACCCCAAACCCTGTCTAGAATTTCTAAGCCCTAAACCCTAAACCCCGAAACCCCCCAATCCCAAAACCCTGTTTCTAAACCCTAAACCCCTAAACCCCTGAATCCCAAACCCTGTTTCTAATCCCTGAACCCCTGAACCCCCAAATCCCAAAAACCCTGTTTGAAAAACCCCTAACACCCCCTGAACCCCTAAATCCCAAAACCCTGTTTCTAAGCCCTCCACCCCTAAATCCCAAAACCCCCGGGCCCAGATGCTCCTATATTATAGTATTATAGTACTCTTATAGATCCCTGTTGAGTTCCCCTAGCCTAACCATGGCAGGGTTGTAGCTTCATGAATCCACATCTGAGTATCTCAAGCCTTGAAGGCTAAAGCGGAGCTGAGCTCCATAATCCGGCATGACATGCGCACTCGCCACGACTGGCAGAAGCACAGCATGTATAGACACTTGCCACGACTGGCATAAGCACAGCATGTATAGACACATGCCATGATCGGCAGAAGTGTAGTGCTTACAGAAGCTTGCATCTGTTTTGTGCGTTGTGAAAATTCGAGTTCCTGCCAGCGTAAGCCCATGGTTGAATTCCTCCTGCGGTATTGATCCTCGGACTACTGCATCCCTACGAGAGATCCATGGCTACTGGTTTGGAAGGGCAGGATGCCCTGAACCCCAACGAGATGAACGATGATTTTCAGGTTATGAGTCGCCCAAACGCTGCTCAAGCGCCCGCTGCATTTGATGAGCGAGCGGGGCGGGCCACCATGATGAATGGTGTTTCTGCTCCAAGTGGTGACGGACCTCGTCTGTCGAACGTCTTGGACCTAGATGGAGAAACGAGGCCTGTTGATCGGGCCATGGGGCAACAGCAGCCGTCTCAAGCGAGCCAGAGACCAGACCTGCCAATGAGTTCTGGAGAAGAAACTGCGAGGACCTTTCTACTCGGTCCAGGTGGAGAGGCTAGAGCTTCTAGTGAAGTTCCTACACCTCCGCCTTCACCGAAACCGAAGAGGGGCCCAGCGGCCCTTTTGGGTGGAATGGCAAAGGCGGTGCAATCATTGCCTGCAGCAGTGGAAGGACTTGTGATGGGTCAAGGGTCTCAGGCTACGACTCGGCAGACGGCAAGATCAACAGATGTTGAGGGGTACGCGTCAGCTCAGTCTGGTAGCCCAGAATATGTGCGAAGGCAGACGGCGGACGTTCCGCCTCCTGCCACTCCGCTTCTGGACGAAAGGACCCTGAGAAGGTTGAACGAGATGCCTGGTGCAGCGCCACATTTGTATCAACCTGAACAGCCTACGTCTGGACTGAAGCCTCCCTCAACTACATCTAGTGATATTCAGAATGAGGTACGAAGACAACTGCAGGAGTTTATGTCCATGAGGGATGAGGAGACGAGAACTCTGAGAACTCAGGTAGAGCTTCTAGTGTCTGAGAATCAGATGCTTCAGAGAGAACGAGCCGAATTAAGTGCACAGGTGTATGGTAGGGAGTATGTAACGCGAACAGATGCTCCGGGATTCTTCCAGGGTTTGGGTTGGTTGGGACGAGGATTCGGGAGTCTAATAAGTGCCTCCAATTCTCCGAAGCCACCAGCACCACCGAGGGCCCTGGACTTTCGCCCACCACCTCCACCTGAGGCCCCTACCAGCGTGAGGCCTGGTCTTGGCTCAGCTTTGGAACATCTCCAAGGCACTCTGCCTGATGTCACTTCCTCAGAGTTGCCTAGGCCCACTGTCGGCCCTGATCCTCCTCAGATGCCCTCTGGATTTGGGTGTTCTTCGTCGTCACTGAATAATCTCGGGCTGCCTAGGACCCTGAACTTCGAAGCAGCAGTAACTCCGAAGGCTCCTGTTGTAGTAGAGGAAGATATTCCCCCAGCGTCTGCGAGCCCTCAGGATCCGATGAATGTGGTACTTACGGGTATGGCACAACTCCAGGGTGTTATCGCAGACCTCGCAACAAGCCCGAAGACCGCTGATCGTCCTGAAGTGATTAAACCAGGAGTTGCCGCGCTCCCAGATCTTCCGCTAGCAGGCCCAGAAGCGTGCTTGGCTTTCAGTGACTGGTTGCACAGCACCCGTCCTGCCCTGGCTGATGTGTCAGACAGTAGTGAGCAGCTGTGGCAAGCGGTTCTAGATGAGTCCAGTGCCTGGTACGCACAGTACCTAAAGCTAGATGCGATCACAAGGTTGACTGACAAACCGACGCCGTCGGCTACGATAACGCAGCCTAAGTGGGCTCGGGTTTCCAGGAGGATTGAGGGTATGCTTTTAGCAGCCGCACCCACGTCTGTGCGCGAAGAAATAAGCTCAGCTAGAGTCAGTGGACTTCTGCAAGTGGTGTGCCGGTTATATACCATATATGCTCCGGGCGGACTATCGGAGCGTGAAATAGGACTGCGACAGATACAGGACCCAAGCCAAGGCACGTCAGTGCGAGACACAGTGGAACTCCTGAGGCGCTGGAAGCGCTGGTGTTCCCGTATGAGCGAACTGGGTGGGACCTTGCCCGACTGCTCCCTCCAGTTAAAAGCGCTTGAGAAGATGTCTCGTACAGCGCTTCAAACACACCCGGACATAGCTTTCCGAGTCAATCTGACGAGGGCAGCTCTTCAAGTCGACACCAACCCGGACGACTTGAAGATCGGCCAACTGCATGCCCAGATCCTTGCAGAACTAGAGGCACTAGGTCATAGGACCCCTAAGGATGATAAAGCCAAGGATTCCCAGACCGGAACCCCACCTAAGATCAAGGGAGTTGAGCAGACGGAGACTCCTCCTAAGAACCCTAAGCCCAAGCTAAACCCTAAGCCGCCGAATGGACCCAAGAACCCAGGAGCTACTGAAGGTGGACCTGCATCTGGGATACCTTGCACCTTTTATGCTAGCCCTAACGGTTGCAAGAAAGGGGCGGATTGTGGGTTCGTGCACAACCGGATGGCAATCCCAGCTGCTGAGAGACCCCAACGTTGCCGTAACTGTGGGGCGCGAGGTCATCGGTCAGGGGATTGTAAGGCAGGGATGAAGGCTGAGGAAAAGGCTAAGTTCAAGTCACCGCCGGCACCGAAACCTCACAATCCAAAGGCCAGTGAAGGGGGACCGCAACCGCAACCGAGTCCAAAGGCTGCCAAAGATCTGTCGCAGCAGCAAATCAAGACGATGCTAGCAGATGCAGCGGCCATCCTCCAGCAGGCCTCACCGGCGGGTAGTGGTCAGCAGACACCTGTGATGGCGGTGCCAATCAGCCCTTGTCCTCAGGCTCCCTCCAGCACAGGAGGAGCTCCCACGTCACCTACTGCACAAGCCTCTCCGGCAAATCCGGTCCAGGGAACGCCTATCACCCTAGCTGCTTTGAATGCACAGATTGAGAGCCTCAGGTCGTTGGCTAGAGACTATGAAGTAAAGATGATAGCTATAGGGCATGAGGCAAATAAAGCGATGGCCAAAGATGATGTACACGTGAAGGCGCTTCTTGACAGTGGAGCTACTCATGCTGTCGTTCCGTTCCGGAATGGTATGACTGGCCTAGAAAGGGTGCCTGTCACTCTCGCAGGTGATCAGCGTGAGGAGTGGTTCAAGACGGACGGAGGGACGCTGGTTGTCCCACCATCACCCGGAGGTCAAGGCCAGGACACCAGCCTCCAAACTATCCTTCCCTTAGGGGGTTTAGTCCAGACCTTGGGTTGCAAGGTGTCTTGGAGTAAAAGAAAGGGGTTGAAAGTAGTTCACCCTACGCTCGGACCTCTTAAAACAGGCATCTCTAAGAATAGCTGTCCATATGTGCAAGAGGACCAAGCTTTGACCTTGATAGGAGAACTTGAATCCGCTCGGCTGCGAGACTTTGAGCAGAGTGTTCAGGCTATGGAAGCTGAGCTCCACCAGATGGCATCGCCGTGTGACCCCACAACTGCGTTGAAAGGGTTCATAGACTCAGGGAGTAGACGTGATCTCCTCAAGGCGGTTTTCTCGCAGCCCTATCTTGCTGATGTTCCCGAAGCCACAAAGGTCAGCCTGTGCGAGGAATTACCTGGGTTAGATGATCAACATGGCTGGAAACTGATGAAAGCCCTCCCCTTGCCCAGAGCGAAGCGCCGAGCCCTTCACGAATCCAAGCGATGGGTTGTCCACCTGGGTTCTGGACCCCATCAGCCGCAGGATCCGATCCGCCAGTGGTGTGAGGAAAACCACTTGCATTACTTTCCAGTAGATGTGCTAGCACCTGGAGGAAAGGGGTGGGATCTTACGGTTCCTAAGGGAGTGTGGTCAGTGTTGTTGTGGGGTGCAGCGAAGGG